ACAACAGCAACAACAGCAACAGTAGCAACAACAGCAACAACAGCAACAACAGCAACACCACCACCACCATCAACAACAACAACAACATCTCTAACAACACTACCGACACGACTCACAACAACACCGGCGAAACCACCACCGCGACAACAACAAGGGCAACAACAACAACAGCAACGGCAGAGGCAGCAACAGCAACAGCAACACCAGCATTAACAACCAATAACAACTGCAGCAACGGCAACAACGGCAGCATGAGCAACATCATTACCAGCATCAGCAACGGCAACAGCACCACAACAACAACAACAACAACAACAACGGCAACAGCAGCAGCAACACCAATAGAACCAATACTAACACCAACAACAACACCAACACCAACAGCAACAGCAAGACAACCAGCACCACCAGCACCAGCAGCACCACCAACAACAACAGGAAGTCAAAACGCACGCGCAAAACGCAGCAAGATATCAGCAGTTGCCATGCCAGACTGACTGCACGCAAGCATTGTGTTCACAGCTGTCCGAGAACAACCAGATTAGTGATTGGCATCATGTTCTTCCTCCCGGTCGCCCCTCATTCACTGCTATCCGCATGCTATCCGTGTACCGTGCGACTCAGCCGTAAGGTTGAGAGGCTTTTGTTGGCTGTTGAAAATATGCCAGTGGAAGATCATGTGCGCGGTGGGAATGCATGCCTCGAGCGCCAGGTTGTTTACTATTATTTGCTTGCAAGATTCAGCACTAGTTTTTCGGTGTCAGTGACCATCCCCTACGCGACTTCTTGAATCCCTTTCGTCGGGCATGCTGTTACGTGAAATTGATCCTGACGGTGATGCAGAGAGGATGGCAACCTGTGCGCCGTTCACAACAAGCGCGTCACTCTGATGCCAAGAGACATGAGCCTAGTGGGCAGACTGCGCCGGGTGAAGATACTGCCGGACAAAGATCCAGCACCGCAGTGACAGTTCCACAGAAGCGTGGCTGCGGCGCCATTTGTTCCTTCTGGCCGTGCACCATAGCACACCATGGCTATTGCAGCCACGAGGAGCTTGTAGTATAGTCTCCGACAGGCCGTTGCCATCACGTGATGTTGTTCGATGCACATGTAACAGAGGGATCACTGCCTCGTAAAGAGCGCAGCTGCTGCACCAAAGGAGGAGCAACCGTTTGTTTGTGCGTTTCGTTCCCTTCCGGAACTGACTCTCACCTTCCGCGGCAATTTGCGGCCCTAAGCTCATCTGCTTAGGTTGAAACTGAGTTTTCAGCACCTTATGGCTTGCCAGCACAGGCTACCTGACACCCGAAGCTTGCACGTGTCCGTAGACTTTGCGACTGCAGCAATGGGCAATGTGGTGATGCAAAGCTGCTGCCATGCGCATGCCAAGCTGCAACTTGTTGACACATAGGTGTAAGTTGAGTCGAGTATGTTCGATTCGTACTCTTGTTGGTTGGTTAGTTTGTTACGTTGCGCAGACCAAGCCATGTTGACGCTGTTTTGCCACATTGGTGGAGGCATCCTGTTGACAAGATGGTGAATCTATTGCTGGGCTGCTTCTTACCACTGGAGAAAGCAGTCGCCGGCAGCACAGAGGAAGTGCGCCTGAAGCTTCTATCAGACTGCCGCAAAGCACACGAGAAGTTGAGCAAGTCTTACGAGACGAATGTGAAGGGAATATGGAAAGTCGAGGAACGAGAGTTGCCTCGTCGTCATGGGCAGGGGGGCCCCATACAAGTTTCGGTCCACACACCCCTGGAGCGTGGGGCCAGACAAGATTTGCCTCTGATCGTGTGGGCGCATGGAGGATGGCACGTGTTGAAATGTTGGGCCGCCTTGCGTCTGGACACTAGCAGCTCAAGTTCACAATACCAAATCAGATCCCTTTATGTTTTCGGGTTTCGACCGCAGGATGCATGACATTGGGAGACCGGCACGATTCTTGGGGCAGCCAATTCTTCAAGGCTCTCACAGTGACTTGGCGGTGCTATCTCAGAAACATTTTCGCAGAAGGTTCAATGGGCTCTTTAGACTCAGACGATGACGAAACGATGGCCGCACAGGACGTGAAGTATCAATTAAGTCTCCTCGAATGCCCTTCCTGGGCTAGGGCCATGGATTGCCCGATAGAACTCGCATCCTTTGTCTAAAACTTCGGGATCACAGCGTTGCTTTGACGAGGTGTGTCGTACTGCGCTTGTGCCTTTCTGAGGCCAAGATTGGACCCTTCTGCTGGGCTTCTGTAGAATACAGGTTGGCTCCAGAGAGCAAATTCCCTGCGTGCATTGATGACTTTACATCTGCCTATGTGTCCTTGGCCGATGCAGAGTTGTCCCAAGAGTTTGGCTATGACGTGAATCGCATGAGCATAATGGGTGTATCTGCCGGGGCTCTTGTTGCGGCACATGCCGCGCTGCGACTGGATACAGGCTACAAGCCGCCCCTGGCATTTTTGCACCTCGTACAGACTTGGTCTCTGTCAACGGCAAATCCTGAAAACTGTGCCACTTTGGCTAGGCAGGAATATGAGCGGACTTCTTGCCAGGTATCCCATGGTGGACCCGGAGATGCGAAGCAGGTCTCATGCTCTCTTCGGGGATCTTCCATCCTGCCCCTCCAGGCTGCTCGGGGCTAGCAGATTTCGGCCACAGACCAGTGCATTGCAGCAGCAGCAGCAGTAGTTGCTTTCGGAAGTACAGCAGTTGTAGCAATCAGCATCGTCTCCCAGTGGTAGCACTAGAAGTATCTCTAGAGCGACGGTATTTTCGTCGTGGTCGTGGTGGCAGTGGTAGTGGTAGTAGTGGCAGTAGTAGAAGTAGTAGTAGTCGTCGTCGTAGTCGTAGAAGCAGAAGTAGTAGTAGTCGTCGTCGTCGTAGTAGTGGCAGCAGCAGCAGCAGCAGCAGCAGCAGCAGGAGCAGGAGGAGGAGGAGGAGGAGGACGAGGAGGGGAGGAGGAGGAGTAGTAGTAGGAGCAGCAATAGCGGTAGCAGCAGCAGCAGCAGTAGCAGTAGTAGCAGTAGTAGCAGTAGTAGCAGTAGTGGCAGCAGCAGCAGTAGCAGTAGCAGTAGCAGTAGCACTAGCAGTAGCAGTAGCAGTAGCAGTAGCAGTAGCAGTGGCAGTGGCAGTGGCAGTGGCAGTGGCAGTGGCAGTGGCAGTGGCAGTGGCAGTGGCAGTGGCAGTGGCAGTAGCAGTAGCAGTAGCAGTAGCAGTAGCAGTAGGAGCAGCAGGAGCAGGAGGCAGGAGCAGGAGCAGCAGCTGCAGCAGTAGCAGGAGTGGGAGTAGGAGTCGTGGTCGTGGTCGTGGTCGTGGCGGTGGTGGTAACGTGCGAACAACAAGCCTTTTGTGGCGTGCGTGGTGTAGAATGGGCACGGATAGGTACCTGCGACTCAGCTGGGACTGGCTGCTGGCCGAGGAGGGTCAGGCGGGGGGCTGCAGTTGCTGTTCGTGTCTGCTTGGGTCTGAGGGTAATTTCAGCCCAAACCAAGTCCAAAGCAAACTCTATGCAAGGCTTAGGAAAGTATGGTGACCATCAAACTGTGTCCTGAACGGTTCCGACACAGCTTGAGCAAAACCTCTCCTTGCGGTATCACCTCGGGTGTGTGATGTCTCGCATGCTGGGTTAGATCAACGAGGCCATACTGTCCCACCAAAACTTGTGTTTTAGTGTTCAAGGAAGCAAGAACTTCATTTGGCTGAGCCCGAGTGTAAGGGCATGAATGGTGCAGACACACTTTGTATTTCTCGCAAACTCCTCCCAGGTTACTGCCCAACGCATAGAAGAAGCGAACCTGCTGACAGCCAGCTGGATGCCACTCCGTGGACGCAAGGCCCGAGAGACTCGAACATATAGAACACGTAGGGGCTAGACTCATATCATGGGTCTTACTAGCAGATTGGTATTGTATGAATAGTGTATTCAGTGTATTCATACATGTACATATATGTTGCCGTAGTAGTAGTAGTAGTAGTAGTAGTAGTAGTAGTAGTAGTAGTAGTAGAAGTAGGTGTAGCAGTAGCAGTAGCAGTAGCAGTAGCAGTAGCAGTAGCAGTAGCAGCATGTTAACAGTATCATAAGATATCTGATCACATATTAACCGTACATGATTAGTACGTGGACCGTATATGTGAACAGTATATGAGTGGTACATTGAGGCGCTGGTGCTCCTCGGACGCTACGACTGCCTCCACGATGAGGGCCAGGCTTTGGCACAGCGCTGTGCACAGGGAGGCCTTCGTGTGACCTCCGCAACTCGGTGCACTTACATGCTATATTCTACGGCAGTATACACAAACAATGCAGTATAAGAGATGTTTACAAATTCTGAAATACTGTCAATATAAGATCTGGCAGAATCCGAGTTGCGAGAGGGTAAAAACACGGTTTATCTACTGTTATATACTCGTAATATTCGGACTGATACATGTTATTATACTCTGATTACACCTATACTAGAGTCATGATGAAGTGTCTATGGTTCTGGCTTTAGGGGTTGAATTCAGGCTTTAGTCTAGGGGTGATGTCAAGTCTAAGGTGATCTTTCAACGGTTTCTGCAATGTATCTCTGAACGCTAGAGTGTCGTCAGTTTGTCCCAGTGATCTGAGCACCTTCTTTGATAAACCCTTCGTCCAGGTGCAGTCGGAGGGGTCCCACGCTGTTGGACACATGGTGGACAAGAAAGCGCAAACGCAGCTTTTTGAGGAGCTGGCCGGACTATTGAAGTGATGAAAAAACACATCAGTGTGCGCATGGGAAAAGGATCGCCAGGCAACCCCAACACAGCCGATGCCTACTTTCAGCGCCCCTGCCGCGTAATGCTCGCTGTTCCATGCAACGATGTCTTGAGTAAGAAACAGACTTTCTGACTGTGAAGGGAAACGGTATTGATTGAACACTACGGATGTCGCCTACATGCTTCTTGCTACCCGGTGCAGGCTCGCACCTGTCGCTTCCCTAGGGACCTGCCAGTAAGTGAGCGAAGTGGAACGTAAAGCAGACTCAGGTGGGACCACATACTCTCGCAGGCTCCGACAGCCCGGGTCCCCAATGATGAGGGTTTGGGGTGTAGGTCCAGCTTTTCGTTGTATCGAGGCTTCTGAGCTTAGGACAAAGGAGCCTCAACCACAGCCAACGCATGCGAAGCACTGTTCCCAAGAACCTGTACATTGGAGTTTTGGGGTTTAACACGCACCACTCACAAAAAGAGGTAGCTTCCCCTTGTTCTCTGAATCTCGCCTGAATTCGCTCCAGTGCGAGTGCCGAGAAATCTTCTGTCACTTCCTGACTAGATGGTTGTCGCTGGGACCTGGGAGCAGGCACCTTCCCGTGTCTGGCCAATGGTTTCCTCCACTTAACAGGTGCTGTCTTCACCGACGGCCAAGAAAAGGAAGAAGTCTCAATCAGGCTGGCTCTTGCAATTCATGGCCGATGTGTTCATGTCCCCTGAACCCAGAAGCCCGAACCCGAAGCCTTGCCAAGAGAAGCCATTGAGGATAGCACGGCAGAAAGAGTGAGGCCCATGTCTTCATGCCCTCTGGAAATTCCCAAGTCTCATCTTCCGGGCCGTATCGAAGTCAAGTTCAGGTTTTACATGTGAGCCGGAATCGTCAAATCAGGGGACGTTCCAGATATGTGATGGCCCGGAATCGCAAAATTACGGCACGCGTTTAAGATATATGATGGCCCGGAATCGCCAAATGACAAGGCGTGTGTTATGTTTTATGATGAACCGGAATCGCCACATGAGGGAGTGTGTTTAAGGTATCTGATGAACCGGAATCCGTTATTGAGGGGAGAATGCTTAACACACACACACACACACATATATATATATATATATATATATATATATACACATATTTATATCATGATGAGCCGCATCGCCAAATGAGGGCGCGAGTTCAAGATATATAATGGGCCGGAATCGCCAACGGAGGGTGCGTGTTTAAGATATATTGGACGAGCCGGAATCGCCAAATTAGGGAGTGTGTTTAAATTAAGGTTTATGACGATGAACCGGAATCGCCAATTAAGGGGGGTATTTTGAATTGAGGTTAGTTGTGTTTTTCATACATGATGAACGGGAATGGCAAAATGAGGGAGCGTGTTTAAGATAATTATACGACAGCGACGGCGCCTGGACGTCGGCATCGTTTGTGATTTGGAATGAGCACGGCACCGAGACGACAGCGACACAGGCACCTGGACACAACGGCAGGGTCGTCGTTCGTGATTTGGAATGGGCACGGCCTCTTTGACGACAGCGACATGGGTGCCTGGAAATGTCGAGAGGGCCGTCGTTCGCGGTTTGAATGAACAACACCTCGATCACAACGACACGGCGTTGTGGAATAAGCACGGCCCTGGGCCTGGACCACTGAACCGAAAACAAAACAAGACCCAGAAAAAAGCAAACCGCTCAAGTCAAATGAATTCTGCTGCCCTTGCTCAGAGCACGCTGGTCGAGATTTGCAGTGCTCAGATCAGGGTGTAGTGCTTTGAGGCCAGTCGTCGTGAATTGTGGCCTGCCTGGTGCGAGCATGCGCATCGAAACTAATCGCGTGATCTCTGAAAGTCGGACTCCATCTCTGGTCTCAGGACCTGACTGCGTGATGCCAATATCGGGATTTGATGAGCAATTCGGTGCAAAGAATGATTTATAATTGAATCTCATAACGAACTTAGTTGCACCGAATGACTGCAGCTTCCAGATAGTCTGTAACGCAGTCATACTCACGGCATTTTGTCACAACTTGTCTTGAGCCTCCTTGAAGGTGACCGCATGGGCCCGTGTGAAACATCGGGGGCATGAATTTACTTGTATCCGACTGGCACCCTGCCTGGTGATTTGCTCAGCAATGCAGGGAAGCAAAAATGTCGGAGTTCGAGCAATAAAATGTGGTCTTCTCGAGTCTCAAGCTGATAGACATGTGCTAGGCTGCCTCGACTACCTGGTGGACGTAAAGGACAGTCTGTGGCTTTTCCCAGCGTTGCTGAGGGCAGGTGGTGCGAAGGCGGTCTTTCCCTGCGGAATGACTGCCGGTATCTGCAGATCAAGCTTCTCAACTTAAGTCTTTCCAAGGCCTGCAGGCCTTGCTGAAAGGCAGATGAGGGCAGTTCCAAACCAAACGGATTTGAGCAGCCCTTCAATCCCGAGAAACTGCTGTTTCTGCATTGGGAGCAAGTGTCGTGCAGCACAGCTGCAAAAAGGGCATTTGTCCATATTCCTCCAATTGCAAATCCATGCGTGGGTCCCCATGTTCTGTGCAGGAGGCCAGAATGGCACTTCGTAATCGAGCAGTGGAAAGCTGTACTGGACTTAGGGCTGCTGTGATACTTTGACTTGTGAGCACCACGATCTGGAGCATCAGCGCTGTTATTACGACTGATCTGATCCGACACAAGTAAAAAGGCAAAACGTGCTTCTTCATGAACCTGAGCGCAAAGTACAGGTTCAGCAGTCGCTCGTTTTGGTGATCCGAATTCAAATCTTCTCACACACAACTCTCTGCTTTGTCGGTCCACTTGACCACGCTGTGCTTTACGATTCTTTGCATGCCAGACGTGTGTTGAGTCTTAAGTGTTGCTGGCTCATGCTCTCTCAGGCAAATCGATCATAGAGCTGTCGGATGGGCGAGGAGGACTCTCTTTCAGGCGCCTTCCGATGATGATAGCACCTCATGTGCAGACTTGGGAAGCCAATGCTACAGCTGGGTTTTCGGCAGACGCTGCATCAGAACGGTTTTTCGGTTGCCTCAGGCAGAAAAATGCTATCTGCATCGTCCCACTGCCGGAAACTCAGTTATCTTAAGCCAAGTTGAATTTAAACGAGTGGTCACCGAGATTCAGCTCGAACTCGCATGGCTGTTTATGGTGCTGCTCCAGTTAAGATCGAGGGGTAGCTTTGCCCAAGTTCTCGAGGGTGAGCATCGAGACTTTGCGCAGCCATGGTGTTCTTCACCGTCTTCGCGACCATTGATTCTATGACACTTCTGTTCGCGATGACTGGCCTTCTGGGATCCAGTGCGTACTCCTTGAAGGCCATCGCAGACTTGGAATACGACGTGCCCTCAGTCAAGACGGGGGGTCGACGGCAAATGCAAACCTTTCCTGCATCGTTTCTTGTTGATGTCTTGTGATCGTGCGAGGATCTTATCAACTCTGTGGACTTCTTCAAAGTCTACAACCAAGCGCACAGAATCGAGCTGGCATTCATCGCGTTAAATGCCTTCTCAGTCCTGCCGTTCGTGGCAAACTGGTGGCTGTCGCCTATTCAGCTCTTATGGGCAGTGGTCAAAGTCTTGCGAGGCGTATCCGGGGGCAATCAGATAGACGAGAAACTTGGGCTTCTTTCAGAATGCTGCTTGTCGTTCAATTGTTTCAAACCTCAGCCTTGTCCCGAAACAAGACGAGCAAGGAAAGATGTCTTCAAGCCAGAGGTCTATGGCCGCCAGCGACGGTGGCAGATGGCGGGCTTCTTCATTTACTTGGTTTCCATTTTCATCTATTTCGCCCGAGCGATGTGTGCGGTAATGGATATTCATGTTCACGGCATATCGCCGTACGATTGAAGGTCCTGGTCCCACCTGGAGCCGGAGCCAGCTCCTGTACGAGTAGCCAATGTAGTCATGACAGTAGCTGCGCTGCATGTGAATTCCCGATCCGACGAACTCGTAGGACGAACATACCGATAGCTTGCCGAAGCATGCAAAAGAGGCTGCCACGATAGCTGTCAGCATCTTGTGCAGCAGAAGGAGCTTTTCTGTCACTGCTTTACCAGGTCAATGTCGCTTGCCCTCATCGACAAGAACCTTGAGACCCCACCGAGCGCGAGTGCCTCAGGATCGAATTGGAGGCATCCTGCTTCAGAGCGAGTGTCGCTTGCTATGTTGCCCTTCAGGCAAAAAGAATACTGACGGAGGCTGGGTGTTGTTACTGACCAGCCTCTTCGGTGGGATACCAGAGCTGTCTGCCAGCTGCTGAACGTTGTCGACGAGATTTCTCGAGTGGTTGCATGCCCAGCTTTGTGCCATGGTGGCCTGGCAGAGCGTGCACAGGTTCCACGTGCCTGCATGCTGACAGAATGGTTGTTTATGGTGTGGTGGTTCTGCTTTGACTGTGCTACTTGCTGTGGTGGAGGTGGTGGTGGTGGTGCTGCTGCTGCTGCTTGTCTGCTTCTGCTGCTGTTGTTATTGTTGCTGATGATGTTGCCGCTGCTCCCGGCGGTTTGCTGCAGCATCAGCCCACTCTGCCTTGAACGCTAGTCTTGCCCCGACAAGAAAGTAGATCGCAGCGCTGTAGCTCCAGCCGATGCTTCGGCACACCGAAGGCCAAGACTACGAGCAAGACGAAGCTCCGACCCTACTCACCTACAGATCGCAAGTGAAAAGCTGACACACATGGACCCGATGCTGTTCATGACCTGTCACGAGAAGTCAAAGACGGCTAGACTGAGACTCAGGAAAAAGCTGCAAGAAAACCTTGCGGCCATTCCACCAGCAGGGGCCTTGCTGGGAGAGTCAAGCTGAGTCAAGCTTAAGACTTGTCAAGGCTGTTTAGAGTTTAGACTGCCCCGCCATTCACAGTCTAATTCTTAGGTTCCTCGCAGCACCTGCGATGTTCAGGTTCCAGCCTGGCAGCAGCGCAAAAAGCGGGTTGTTGTAGGTCCGACCAAAGCTAAGGTGAACCAGAACCACGGTCAATCACGGTGGGCCCCTCTTGAGGCGACTAGGTGTAACCTCACGGCTTGCGCAGCGTAAGCCAAGGGCCGCATTTCGTTCGCGAGGTTGCTGCGGAGCTCTTCGTGGGAGAGTTCCCGAATCTTGTACGGGAGGCGGGCGTCAACACTCTCCATCTTCCTAGTGGAGCAGCTGCTGGTCACGTGAATTGTGGTTCTGAAGACTGCTGTTGCTCTGTTTCTTGGGCCACTGATACGGCGGCTGCACCAGGGCAATTCTCGGAAGTTCGAGCCTGACTGCCTGGCAATGTTTTCGCAGTTCTAGCTTTACAAATTTAAGGAAACTCGCCCACCACCATGATCCACTCCCTGTAATGGGAATTCCAATGGATGATGGGAGAGGGGGTGAGCTAGCAATAGTCGTACCCGCCGTTGTATTAGTAGGAGGAGTTTTTTGTTGAGGTGGTGGTGGTAGCAAGTAGTGGCAGTAGTAGTAGTAGTAGTAGTAGTAGTAGTAGTAGTAGTAGTAGTAGTAGTAGTAGTAGTAGTAGTAGTAGTAGTAGTAGTAGTAGTACTAGTAGTAGTCGTCGTCGTCGTCGTAGTGGAAGTTGCAGTTGTAGTTGCAGTTGTAGTTCGTTGTTGTTGTAGCCCTGGTGGTGGTCGTGGTGGTGGCGGTATTGGTAGTGGTAGCCTTGGCTGTGGCGGTACGGGTAGGGTAGTGGTAGTGGTAGTCGTTGTCGCACTAGAAGTAGAAGTTGGAGCAGCAGCAGTAGCAGCATCAATGATGCTAAAGCGATGTTGGCGATGACGATGGACGCCACTCGCATTTCTTGCGCTACCACGACTACCACTGCTGTCGCCGCTGTTACTGAGACTGCTGATGCTGCTACCTTGTCACTTCACTAGTCGATTCAGCCGGGGAGTTCCCATGTCTATCTTATCAGGCTGCAAAAATGGCCTGGCGCGAGCTTGGTTTTTTTGCCTCGGCCGCATTCTCAGTGGGGCAAAAGCCTGGGGCATGAGGCCGGAGTCGACCCATCAGGTCTCCACATTCATAAAGACTTTGAGCATGGTGTGGCTCCAATGCAACTTCCTGGAGAAGCATCCGACCGAACAGTTCCGGGTATCCACGACAGGCCAAAGCAAGACCCTAGGCCGAACTCCATGATGCAAAGCTGGAGCATACCCTTGCAAAGGGCCGGGGCATCATGATGGTTGCGCCATATCCTACTAAAGTTGGGTGTCTGCCGCCATGTGAACCGGCTAGACGGGGCAGGATATGTTGAGTCGTTTGATTTGGCACGTATGTGAAGACATTCGAAACATATAGCAGCATTGGCAGGAGCAGAGTACTGAAGAAGAAGACGCAGCAGCAGGAGGAGGAGGAGGAGGAGTAGTAGTAGTAGTAGTAAGTAGTGCGTACGTAGTACGTAGTCGCAAGTAGTAGTAAGTAGTTGTAAGTTGGTAGTCGTAGTCGTGTATAGTCTATATATAGTCGTAGTAGTAGTAGTAGTAGTAGTAGTAGTAGTAGTAGTAGTAGCAGCAGCGGTAGTAGTTGCAGTTGTAGCAGCAGTAGCAGCAGCACCAGGAGCAGGAATAGTAGTACGAGCAGGAGTGGGAGTAAGAGCAGGAGATACTTGGTGGCGGCACTCAGCAGCAGCAGTAGCAGCAGCCTCAGCCACAGTCGTCCTCTTCGTAGTAAGTAGTAGAAGTCGTGGTAGTTGTAGTCGCCAACAGCATCAGCAGGCTCACATTGAAATCAAGGACTCTTAGGGCCTTACGGGTGTTGCCGAAAGATTTTCTACTGCTCGATCAGAAAGTGAGCAGTGACCAGTTAGAGCAGTTCCGGCGATTCGACGTTGAACTCAGAACACAGAGCTGAACGCAAGGGTTTCATACACTTCCCATCCCCTGAGGAAGACACGCTCACCGGCGTGTGTGGCTCTGTTTCGAGCTTAAGGCCATCAGCCATCAGTATTCTGGCGACAGTGCCTGGTTCCGATTTCTGGCACGAACTGTTTCTATAGGCTTCAAGCATGCGACATGTTACCATTGACGTTGTGCTTCCAGTATGCTTCTAGTTCTTGTCATGGCTTTGAGGCTAATCTTGTGATTGGTTTTCACTGTCGTCGTTGCTGGTGAACACGCGAACATTCGGCGCCGTCGACAGTTGTAGCAATGATTGCTAGAAGCAGTGCTAGTTTACATGTTGCACTCACACCTACTGTGCACAAGAACCGTTTGATCTTGTGGCTGTTGCTGCAGGCTTCTGGGGTTTCCTGCCAGTTTTTGAGTGTTGGTCTGGAATCTTAGGCTTCGACATGTGTTCTTGTCAGAAGACCTTGGATCTACGTGTAGAAATTGAGTTGTCCCATGACCTCGTAACCAAATTCAACGGTGCCGAGAGCCCTGCACTGAAAAGCCATATTACATGCCGTCACCGACCCAACCCGTTGCTTCAAGCGAGGGGCAGTGCGTCGTCAAGCGCGAGGAATACAGAAAGCAATAGCATGGACATCATCAACAAGAGAGAACGTATCGAGCAGCATGTTATTCAGGCTGTGCTTGGCGGCCTCCAGGAACATGCACCCAGATCTATAGGGACAACTCAAAATATGATGGACGTGGGAGGCTTTCAACCCAGGTGGGAAATGTTATCAGATCCTTCTGATGACTGAGGTTTGCGGGACGCCACCGGAGAACGAGCCTGAAGAGGGAGAGGAGGAGCCGCTGCTCACACACCAGTATCTTGTAGTTTGGAGAGGAGATCGGTAGACGCCAGCCGTCCAATCCTGAATTCCAAGCCCCATGAGAGAGGGAGAGAGACGTGCGATGGGGCTAACCATGACTCATTCTCCGTAAATTTGGCCGACCTTGAGACCGCTGCGAGCCACGGGTGAAGGCCTCCGGGCCATGGGGCTGTATGTCCCCACACCCCTCGCAAGCAAGCAAGAGAGAGGGAGAGGGAGCCAGAGTACGGAAGGTCAGCAAGCAGTAAGAAACGGGCAGGCTTGATGCTCGGGTGGCTTTACTGGCCCCTTATCTAGGACAGGTACTGCCTGCTCACGACCGGACACTCTGGAATGCCATGCAGAGGGGCTAAGGCCAGGCTCAGGTTGCAGGCAAGGTTGTCCGGGCCTGAGTGTAGGAGGTGCCTTCGGAGCAGGAAGAAAGACAGACCCAGCTGCAGCCCAATACCCCCTGACTGCAAGATCATATTCAGTCATCAGGTGGTCCACCATTCACGTCTATACCCGGAATGCCCTGACCAACAGTGCGAGTGAGTGTTGAGATGCAGCCGTCGTACTCGTGCTGCTGTGTGAATTTTTTCCACGTATGGTTGACACGGTAATAATGCATGACTATGCTGAACTAATCATAATCCAGAATCCAGATTTCCCGAACTGCTAGTGCTGTGGGTCTTCAGAAAGTCGTCAATGGCATCCAATCTCGAGGACGACGAGGACGAGGTAGACGAGCCTCTGAGCGCGACGGGTGCGGCTCTGAGTTTGCCTGCATGTTGGTGTGCTTCTAGCCGCAAACCCCTGCGCAGTGACCCGGATCATAATGGGGTGCCAACGATACGATGCATACATTTGCATCCATGTAGAAATTCATGCTACCTATATGCATGCATGTATGCATACATACACACAGTCATGCATGCATACATGCATCATAATTTGCTACCCTCCCTTCCCCCCCTACCCGCACCAGATGCCGAAGCCGCAGTATCGGTAATTATCTAGAGCTGCGCTCCCGTCACAGTCCCGTGAACATGTTTGACGCTTGCAAGGTTTCCACCTATAATTGCATTTCCGCCACAGTCCCATGCAACTTCAATATATTGTACTATATCAAGCAAGGGCTGGGCATTAATTTTTATGCTGAGGGTGTTTTTTTCTTATGCTCCTTTTTTCGGGCTTCCCCTCCGCCCCCCTCACGGCATGCCGGGGCCATGGTTTCAGCAACACCAGTTCAAACAACCCTCCAGGAACCTGACAGACCTGAGTGCTCTGGTCCACCCGAATTGTGGTGCAATCGTCACTCGAAACTCTCGCAGGCAATAAGAGTATGGTAAGCCTGCTTTTTTACAAACCGGCACCAGAATCTATGGTCGTCCCTAAGTTAATATTTGTATACATGCCATGGACTCGATACATGTTTCCTTCCAAGCTAAGGATCCCCGCGACATCGTAGGCCAACATTCACACATGCAGACGCGATCACTTTGAAGAAACCTTCAGTACCCGGCACGTTTTCAAGGCCAGCAATGATGAGATTTCAATAAGTCAGGCTTGAAGGGAGGCAGGGAAAGTTCATATACAATAGGTGAAAGAGCCTACTGGCCTGTTCAAGGGCACCAATCCGTTGCCGTGGCTTTAGAAAACTTCGGTATCCGGCACAGGCACATATTCAAGAATTCAAGACGTCAGTAGTTATCTTTTTCAAGAAAGTACAAATACAAAGGGAGGTAGAGCATGTGTATGCGAGATTAATGCAAGAGTCTACCGGCGCATTCAAGGGTACCAATCCGTTGCCGCAGATTCAAAACAAACATTCCGAACGAAAACAACGCTATTCGATGTGGAAGTGGGGCCGTCCATACATGGAACGTGGGTCTGAAGGTCATGTTGAAACGTGCAGTTCCGGACGGAGTCGAAGTCCCCAGTTCTCCCGGGCGGGTGAATATTTTACGAGGTTATTTTATTGAGAAGTCTAACCCCGATGGCGAAGACCGCAGCAGGCTGCAGATACGCGTCGTGGCGAGCGGATGAGACTTCAGCGCCGTTCCGGGAATTAAGCTAGGTGATGAACTATGTATCATACCGAACATGATTGACTCAGTTGAGCTCGCAGAATGCATGGGTATCTCATTGAAATGCATGGAGGCTATACTAGAAGGAACATGGAGGAGGATCGCACGGGTGAGATTTGTAAGCAGTTCCGCGTCCCAAAATGTGCCACCGCCACAGTGCTGGGCATATTCTCGGGGTGACCCGCGTTTCCACTTCCAAATATTACATTCCCGTCGCAGCCCCGCGCGACTTCAAGAGAAGCTCTGGACTTTCAACAGTGCCAGTAAGCACACCATATGTGTAGGAGACACTTCAGGCCCTCATCACTAGGAATTGTAGCTGGCTTTGTGGTCCTACATACCCTCCCGTGGAATGTGGCAAACAACCGGACAGACCGAACCGGGGGAGAAATGGCGTTTCAACATCTTATTACTAGTCCTGGTTGCAGAAACATCCTCATAAACAGGGAGCACAATCACCAGCTCGGTTGGCTTTCCTACATTGGGACATGCATGGAATGTGGCTGCCCCTGTGCAACACGGGCTTGTGTATCCAATCAGATATGTAGGTGGATTTCTACATGTGTATGTTGGCCTATAACCCCCCCAAGACTCACACAATAGCCTGTATATACTCTCTTGACTGTACAGACGTGCCATTCGTGTAAGCTGGGCGGGGTTAAATATGCATCTTATCGAACACTACAAAGTGCATGGATATCAAGATGCACAGTGCGGATATGCAGGTATGTGGATTGTTATACTACTGGAGACTGGAGGTACATGGAGGGTGGTAGCCCGGATGATGTGTACAATTCGAAAGCCAGAAGTGTGAAGATGTGCCATACGGGTGAGCCGGGCGGGGTGAAATATTCATCTTATCGAACACTACAATGTGCATGGATATCTAGATAAACATCTCGGATGTACATGCACGTGGATGGTTATAGTAGAGGGTAATTACGTGGAGGGTGGTAGCCCGGATGATGTGTACGATCATTCGATAGCCGGGCTTGCAAAGTGCATAGACATCTGGTTAGTTCGTGCGGCTGTCGATGCCTCTGCTCTGCACTGGGAGGTACATGGAAGATGGTAGCAGGGATGGTATCGATAACTCTACTAATTTCTGAAGTGCGGGTGCCCCAGGGATGCAGACATACACGACGCAGAGGGAGGGCGGTTACGTAATATGGTGTATGATACTTACGTTCGAAGGCTACAACCGCCGAGCTCAAATTCTGGGGGGTAAATTTGTATGACCACTGGAAAAATTCCAGAACTCCAGATTTGCGTGCCCTAACTACTCCAGAAATCCAGAGTTGTGAACCTGGAATTATTCCAGGTATGAAAAGCTCGAAAACTGAAATTCTCCATTAGTTAGGTACTAACGCATGTCATGCCCTCACCCCCACCCCCAAATTCCCCCTCCCGCCTCCCCCCACCCCCCAACTCGGCATGCCTGAATCTCCAAACTTGCCAGGGGCCAGCCGCAAAGCTGCTTTTGATAGCGCGATCACTGCCCTGAAGGTTCGGCAGGCATCAGGGCTCAGGGCTCTAGGTCTCTGGACACGGCTGGTCGAACATTTCCGCTGTGGCTCCGCCTGCTCCCAGACTCAGAGGTCTTTTAGCGCGTGCTCTAATTGCCCAACTGGGGCGTTCTTGGCAGGACAGTGGGGCTGGCGATGACGAGGACCTAGAAACCTGTAGACCCTGTGGCATCAGCTACCGGTTGTTCTGGTTGCTGGGGCAATGCTTGAAGCTTGCTAGGCATTGTCTTTGGCCTTTGCGCAACAAGTTCTTCATTTTTGGGGTGATTCTGGAGACCGCTCCTGCAAACTCCAGGCAAACTCTAGAGTGTTTTCTGTTGGACGGCAGGAGGAAGATGAGGATGTGACTACGCTCGACTCTGCGGGAGCACGAGCCCTGGAAAGCTGTTTGACGGGCGCTGTAGGCGCAAGAGGACTGTGACTAGCTCAGTGGATCATCTTGTTGAGTTTATCATGCCGCAAGTTCGTAGTGCTGATATTTGTGCACGTGTCGAGTTATCGCCTCTCTGCGTCGAGCATCTGCGTTCCTGTATTCCAGGTTCCCACAGCATCCTGTCGACTCTACCTGTTTTTTCAATCCGACCCCTTGGGGTTTGGACAGCTGTCGGAATCGAGGTGCTCAATGAGCTCTTGGGTGGGCAGGAGAATGACGAGCTGCTGGAGTCTTTCGCAGGCTCAGGCAGGAAAGCCGATTCCGACCGAACTGCGTACCTTGGGGAAACTGTTTTTTGTTTTTGCATGCTAAGCTACAACAAACTCGGGTCCTTCGGCGACAAGCAGGGTTTGGAATTGGGGCTTTTGGGAGATCCTCAAGAGGCTGGTCGGCTAGTCGGCGTCAAGCCCCCAATTGCCGTTATATCTGATTTCAGACTCCTGCTGGCGTGTCCGTCTCTTTGCTATTCCGACAGGGCGATGTTTTGGCGGCTGTTTCGGAAGAGAGGTCCGAGTGAACCGCAGGGTCACAGAGTTAAGCTGGCGGATGAGCCCAACAGTGTACCTGGCCGGCTTTGGATCCTCTCTGTTACTTTCTAAAGATACCACAGTGATACCAGCAAGAAAAGTGCACCAGACCGCAGGGGAGGTTGTGCGAGAGGGGCCGAGCTGTGAGAGGTGAAACCATGAAGAAGCCAAACCTACATCTCGGTCCAGAGGAATGGGGTCAGTGTTTGGCCTGGAGGTCTCCAGGGTGTGGCGACGCAGCCAAAAACTTTGACGAAGAGGCCGCAGGGTATGGGGACATTCCTGTTCTGCAACTACGTTGACGATTTCGTGGCCTTGTATTGCGAGACTCTTGATGATGGCACGGCAGGGAGAGGGAGAGAGAGAGAACTACCTTGACGTCTTGAGGCAGCTAAAGCTCAAAGAGAAGCAGAACGACGCCGTCCAGCGTTTGCGAGAGGCGGGCGGGGTTACATTCTGAGCGGCAGAAAGACGGGTCGACTGGCCCATGCAACTCCACGTGGAATGGACGTCCTGGCGAAAGGCCGAGCTGATGGAGGCCTTCTTGATGAAGCACGGCGGAAAGCCGGCAGCCAAATGGATTGCAGGTTTCATTTTGAAGGGAGTACCAGGCATGTAGATGTTGTACCGGAAACTTGGCATGTTGTGTAGCTACCCTAAGACTCCGAGACCCACATAAGTCTCTGCTCCATTCTGCTCCAAGTCGCCCCCCCCTCTACACCGCAATGTCACTTTGCATGCACACTGGTGGTGCGGATAGGAATTGCAGCCCGACCCAAGCTCAACAGACTCCGGCGGTCCTGCAGCACTTAACGCAATTTCAGAGCTATTGGGTCTCCTGCATGCCCGTGCCTTGCAACAAAGTGGCCGCATAGAAGTTCTCCACCTAGTCCTCAGGCTGCCGAGTGTGGTCGACCTTTGCTAAAGACGTTGTGTGGGATGGGAATGCCATTTTCTGACAAGCACAATCAGGACGAGTTGAGTCGAGAAGGACTAAGCTGTGACCACTGGATGTGCTCGCGCCTCCCTGGGCCGCACAAGGCGACCAGTCAGCCTCGACTTGGTCCAAGAGCTGTTCTCTGTCCCATTCTGAGTAAAGCCGGATTTGCCTCGAACTGTGGGCAATGAAATTATCGGCGCACGGCTGAGCAGGGCATGGTCCGGTTGATGCACAAGGCCTGGTCCGGCATCCGGTGTCCTGCAACAAAGAAACAGCAAGGCTTGCCTGCGAGTGCATAAGAGCAGTGATAGTGACATCATGCGAGGCCAAAGCCAACCAGGGGGCGGAGGCGCTCCTGCGCGTTCTGAAGACATCAGTTAGGCACAATGTGCCGCATCGCTGTGCTTTTCAAGCACACAACGAGTCTTGAAATGCACTGGTACAACACTGTGCTACTACAGCACAAGGTGTTGCGGGGGCTACGACTATCACACGACAGAGAGCACCATGCTGCAAAGCTTCGGGATGACAGCATCTTACCAGTAGAAAAATCCGGAGTGTGTTTTGCAGGCTGGCGTGGGAGACAAGGCGGAGACCGAGCCAGGCTTCACAGCGAACACCATGTCAAACAGTGTTTCCACGCGCACAGACGGCTGCTGCCGAACACAAACGGTTGCCGCGGGATACGGCAGGAAAGGGCAAGCAGAAGCGGAAGAAGATGCAGTCAAAGGCGGGGATGTGCTCTTTGGATCATGTCGCATGAGGAGGAGTTCCTTGGTATTTCAGCATACCGAGGCAGATGCCGAACTCCGGAATCTCGAGGTCGTCTGCTGTGCAGCTGTTCGGTTTCAGACAAAACGGGATGCATGATTGGAAGCTCCTTGCTGGCTCATGCAATAAGTGAAGGACGGTTTGGCGCACAAGATCCACAAGCTGCTGCAGAAACTCCTGAAAACTATTTGTTTCAGCCTGAGGAAGTACCAGAATCTGCGCGCCTGCCAAGCGCAGCACGGAACGTTGCTCTATCAGCTGCTGCATATAATCCCATATCACATATTCTACAATAGTATACAGATCATGAAAAATAGTTTTCGTGCAGTACAACGGCATGCTGAGGTCGTGCGGGACATGTGCAGATCCTGGCTGGTGCGCAGCTTTGGGGGATTGGGCTCAATGGCGCTCATGCAAGAACCCAGAATCTAGAATCAGCAATTTTTTCCTGCTGCTCCTAATTATTTGCGACTCTTGCAACACTGGTTCGCAGCTTTTGTTCGAATCTCAGTGGAAGTCTTTCAGCTTCCGCTGATTGGCTTTTTGCAGGATCAATGCGGGCTCAAGACTGCAATTCAATAGGCTAAAGGGCATGAGAAATGCGCTTGACAGAGCTTCGAAAGGTTGGAAAGTTTCTCTGGCGACTTTAATGGCAACTACTGTAGACAATATCCAAGTCGTTGCTATGATGCCTTTTCAGAGCCGACTGCACAGAAGATCTTATGTGCATGCTGGCGTTTGCAGCGTCATCATTGGCGGCGTTATGCGTGAGTTGAGCCCTTGCAGGTGACAGTTGACAGATGCTGTGAGAGTCGTGGCTAGTTCAGGTTGGCATTCTCCGGAGCAGTGGGCATCAAAAGCTACGACCTCAATACAAAGTCAACGGGTTCGGGCACCTCTGCGAGCTGAAACAACATTGCAATGATGCGTTTAACTCTTCGGTTCTCAGGCAAGAAGTATGTATACACTGTGCCAGACGCCCAACGTCTGCTTGTCACGGCCTTAGGGGGGCAAGGCTACAGAGCACAAAGGAGTTTGCAAGACAAGTGGCAACTGCGCCCAGCAGTGGACCAGGAAATTTGGGAACCTGTTGATGACACCAAGGAACTCCGGCCCTCGTCCTGTGGAGGTGTGGTTAGGGTTTTTGGGAATCGAAAAGATGAGTCACGGGGAAGGTTGTCATGCTGTGATGGTCGGATCGAGAAATGAAGCTGGCCACTGCTATATGGGTGCGGGTAGCGTGTTGGAGGTTTGCAAACGCACACACATCACTGGAAGGCAGTGTCTGTCCAAACACAGCAAGGCAACCTGTCAGCTTCTGCTTACGTCCATGCTTCAACCTTCCTGCTTGGATGATCCTCATGAGCGACAGCTCATTTAAGCATAGAAGCCAGTACTGTAGTAGCACACTTCACCTGTTCATGGATTCTCCATCTTACGCGATTATCGGTCTCATTGCTGCGAGCCGCGCACACACAAATACATAACTGCACATTTGCCCTACGTCTATATATTCTATAATATTTATACCAGTATATCTGCAGCTGCATCTCCGTAGGCATAACTTTTTATGTATACACCTGCATTTACATACATGTTTGTACGTGCAGGCTTACATCGACGTGCATACATGTATTCATTCACATATGCATACATACGTACATACATGCATACATACATACTGACTCGCCCATTCACCCACTCACGGACATTTGCGTGTCAACGTTCAAATACATGTTCACGCATGCGTGTTCACACATACATGCATACATACATGCACACAAGAATGCATGCACCCGCGCATACCCAGACAGACACAGACACAGACACAGACACGGACACAGACACAGACACAGACACGGACACAGACACACACACACACACACACTTACACACACACACACACTTACACACACACACACACACACACACTTACACACACACACACACTTACACACACACACTTACACACACACACTTACACACACACACACACTTACACACACACACAGACTTACACACACACTTACACACACACTTACACACACTTACACACACACACACACACACTTACACACACTTACACACACACACACACACACTTACATACACACACACACACACTTACAAACACACCCACACACACAAACACACACAAACACACACACACACACACACACACACACACCCGCGCGCGCGCGCCACATGCGAACACAGATGCGTATTCACACACGCATACGTGTACACATACATGCACCTGCACATACATGCATACATTATACACATGTACATGCACGTATACACCTACAAACAACAGCCACATGTGCAGACACATGCAAACAGTAACGTAGATACACACACACACACACCCACACACACACACACACACACACCTGCACGCATGTACATGTAAGTCATTGCGGTATAACGCCACATGGTTTTTTCAGGTCATCATGCAAGATGAGAAAAGATAGCAAAGCTTTAGTTCGCAGCCGTGACACCGTGACAGATCGGCAGTGGCATCTTCTACTTTTTCTGTGCGGCTCATCAGGCCGCAAGCCAGGCCAGGTGTTGGGCTTCCCCCTAAAGAAAACGCAGAACGTTTTGGTTTTGCAGTGAGGCGAGGCGTGATGCGTCAACTGTCGAAGCCGTTCGGGTTTTTGTTGTTTCGACGTTCGCCCATGCAGCCCACCCAACAACGTTTTTGACAACGACAAACTCTAGTCGTTACCACCCCGTGAAAGCCGACAAGAGCAGTCAAGAGCACGAACAGCGCGGGGCCTGTGTGCAGACCTTTTTCAGCATTTAAGTGTAAGCACTGGTTGCATAGATAAGAGGCTAGGCTTGCACAGTCTTTTGTTGCCATCCTCTCAGCATCAGTCCGCTGGAGTTCAATCGCCGCAGGCTCTCGCGGTGCAGTCATGTTCCAGTCTGACAGCAAGTCATACAGAATTGAGTCAAACACGTGTGGACGGGCGCTGCTTTTTTCCCATTGGAGGCTTCTGAAGACCCTCCGGCAGGCTGGGAGCATCTGATGGGATGTTATTATGCTCACCGAGCTCCCGGCATTACAGTACTCCGGCTTGTGCATTGCCAGCTTCATTACAGGCTGGGCGCTGGCAGAAGAACTGCTGGCCTCGTTGCTCCAAGACTGGGGAGGCAAGAAGGCTCGAGCCCCATGGTTGGAAAACAAGACTTCCAATGAAGAATCTGAATTACGGATATAGAGTGGCACCTGATTCGAGTTGAGGGGTCGATAGCTTGAAAAGTGATCAGCTGGTGCCGGCGAGAAGCATCATCGAAGTCTTCTCAGCAAAGCACGCGGCCTTGAAGTAGCTGTGTTTCCTGGAAGCGAGGGGCGGTCGCTTGCAATACGAATCGAGATGCTTCACATGTTCGGTTCAACACTGCGCATTGTACTCTCGTCCCATACCGAGGGGTAACAGCAGAATCGAGCAAGCAATGCCGGGGCAAAAGAACCCCTACCTGAGGGATCAGGAGAGGTAGGATGGTAGGTAGGAAACTACTGTTGATTAAACACCAAGAAAAGTATTCTTACTATACAGCCAGGGGTCGTCGAAGTCTTGGTCAGCATTGGCCTAGATTGGGTTTCCAGCAGGACTGTGACAGCTGGTGCCAGACGGCTTTGAAAGCTTTCGCAGCGCGGCACTTGGTGCAGATTTGTGCGAACGAGCTGAAGCAGCAAAACGGCGTATATGGAGGTGACCGTGCGGAACGGGCGGGTGTTGAGGGAAGATGCAGAAGGGGCAGAGAGCCCATGACTACGTGTTCGACACTGCGGATCGTTTCATTTTGTGCGAAGTTTCGTATTGGGAAGCCCGAGGTCCGAACCCCACAGCTCTTACAAAAGCTGCCGTGGCCTGCTCGGCGGGTTTTTCGCCCTTAGTGGCTCAGTGAGCAGTTCTTGGTTCTTGATTGCACCATGTGGGAGATTCCGAAGATAGGGGACCCGAAAATAGTACCTTCAATGGTGCCCTGAGTTTCGGAAACTCGCATGTCTTGTGCATGTCAGGGTGGAGGCAATTCGCAGCTGTCGGAAGGCAAGGTCGGTTTGTGCGAGCATGGGCGAGTGAGTAGCTTAACTAGCCTTCTCGGCACTACGACCTTGCAGTCCACCAGTTCACAAAGAGCACAACAGGCATCTTCCTGAAAGTCTCTGCTTCCAGAGAAGGCTTGCAGATCAACATGCACGTCGTCAGACGTGCAAGGAGATTTCAGGAGGGCAGCACAGGGCAGCGGTGCGACCAGACTGGGTCACTGTCCTCCGTACACTACAAAGTGCAAGGCGTATACCCAGCGGATGCAATTGGCTTTTGTCGCCAAGAATGTCCTGCGGCTTGGCTCCTAGCGATGTTGTAGTCGCCAGGAGTTCGAAAGTCTACTCTCGACGCCGAGATCAGCATTCCAAAGACACAGCCAATAGGAACCCATGTGCCCTTCAAGCAACAGGTCTCCTCGGAGCCCCACCACACCACAACCGTACCATTGCATCGCACGCAAGCAGGGCCTAGCCAGAGCTACTCCGTCGTGAGGCGTGTATTGCACCTCAACACCCAACATCCTTTGCCTTTCGGTTTAAAGCTGAGGCCGCACCTTCCTGGCACCAAGGAGGCCGCAGTCTTGGGTGCTGTGTGTCGGAGTAGGCCAGCATTCGAGGAGTTGGGAGATGAGTGAGAGGGGAGCGACTCAGACTGCAGCTCATGCCTCGAAAGTTCGCGCTTGCCATGCTGTGTCCTAGACCCTGGTGCTGCGAGTTTAGGAGGGGTGACTTTGCTTGGCGCTGGGTCGTTCTCACGTTCTCGAGTGCACGTGTCCTTTTAATTGTTCTTTCCAGCATCTCTGCTGGATACACTGAGGAAGCGAACTTTCTGATAGCTCTTCGTGAGCTGGGGATGTATTTCCGTATTGTCCTCACCGTTGCGAAGCACGGGGCACTCAAAGGAAGCACCTCAGCAAGTAACAAAACTGGGGACCGAGGCTTCTTTGGGACAAATGGAAAATCCGAGCCTGCTGAATACCGAGAAACCCGTTGTCTGAGGATGAGGTGGCTGCCCTGCTGTCTTTTGCCGACAGCCTTTAGCTCAGATCCCGGCAGAGAAAGATGCACTTTTGTCTCCATGTGTAGTAGAGCACTTTGACGCACTTCACTTTCCCTTCTTGGTGTGCGTATGTCGAGGCTTTGCCGCCCTTTGCGCGGAACTTGTGGCATCAACGCTTGGCAAGCCGGCAGAGGAGGCTCAGAAGTCGGGAGCCAGAAGGCACAAGGCGGCGAGCAGGATTCTTGCCATAGCCGCAGTTGAAAGCACTGGGTGTCAGCTGCTGTTGCTATCTTCAAGCCCACATGGTTAAACTCGCTGGCAGGCCTAGCTCAGGTTAGGAGGTGTCAGTCTGCACTTCCAGGGCGGCAACTCCACCAACCAGATGCAAAAGCTCCGCCGAGAAGCGCTGCAGGCGCTGAAGTCTGGAGCTCGGCAGCTGCCCAGCATGGCCTTGAGCCCTGAACCCCAAATCTCCGTGGTCATCTGCTGTGTCAGGGCTTCAGAGGTGGACTTGTGTTTGTACCTGTATGCAGGGATGGTTTCTTGACGCAGTAACTACATAATAGCGGTTGCACGGTTCGTACAGCAGCACGTGGGCAAGTGTAAAGTAGAGGATGTCATGTAGTATGTTGCGCAGTAACCTGTGCAAGAGGTCCTCCAGACCTGCACAGGGGCACAGCAGAAGCTTGGCAAAGTGCATCCGGTATACAACACAAGAATCTGAAAGTGTTCCACTGGGTCATGAATTTTAAGCATATCTATATATATATATATATACATACGTAGTTATATAAAAGCATAGTTCTACCTTTGGATAAGTTTGTATATGTATAAGCATATCTATATATGTATGCATATGTAGTTATAAAAACATAGTTCTACCTTTAATGCATATGTATAAGACATATATATATATATACATATCGAGAGAGAGAGAGAGAGAGAGAGAGAGAGAGAGAGAGAGAGAGAGAGAGAGATGTGACTAAGCCACGGGATCCGCCGCCTCGAAGCCGAGATCCATGACCAAGGGGGTCTACAAGCGTTGGAGGCACGAGAGGGGGCCTACCTCGCCGTCAAAGCCATGACCAGTGCCCGCGACAAAGTGCTGGCGGGGGACAGAGATTGGCTGTCGGCCAACTGGCTTTGGACCGTCGCGTCCCTCCTTGAAGAAGGGGATGCCTTGTCGTGGGAACTCCGCCACGTCCCGGGGGAAGCACACGGCAGTGATGTTCTGGCCATGGCCGCGGGGGCCAACGAGACCTACGGGGACATGCCAGACGTGTGGAAAGCCAAGCAGCACCTTCGAGAGCTGGGGGGCCTGTTGCCTTTCCTAGCTGACAACGATGCAGACCAAGCTCGACGACTGGTGGCGTCCTTGCTGGCGTGGGTACAAAGCCGAGAGGGGACCACCTTGATGGTGGACAGCCAAGGGAACGCCGAGACTCAGGAAGCAGAGGAGCCCCCAAGCCTGTTCGCGGTCTCCTCTCCACTGTCGGGGGGCCATGTGACTGTCGATGAAGAGGGGGAGCCTATGGAAGCCGCACTGCTGCCTGACCCTGGGCGGCCCGACGACACCGCAGCTGAACCAGAAGGGGGCGCCGCAACTCTGCCAGAAGCGAGTGGAACTGCGCCACTGGAGCCCCTCCCTGCTGCTGATGCCACAGGGGAAGCAAGCCCGAGAGCATTGGGGGCTACGCAACTGGACGCCAACACGACAGGCAACTCCACTGGGGGGACAGCAGCTCGGCCCAAGTTCCCGGCGTTCTGGAACCTACGGGGGACGATGGCGACGCTGGATGTGCCGTCGTCTGCTGAGCGTGACCCCGATAGCCTGCCTAGTGAACTAGAGCCTCCCAGTGAAGTGCCGTCCGCCCAAGAAATCGCGGATGGACACGCACTTCAGGAACAGGTGGAGGCTGAGCTGGACCGCGCCAGCCGTAGGAGGCTGCACAGCCCGGAGGGGACCAGACGAAGAGTGAATCGAGAGTGGACTGATGACAGTGACTAGGGAGTGCACCTTTTTGCTTGTATGTACTGCTCCCCGTCCGGGCCTCAGTGTACAGTTTGCCTTTCTTCGCTTGCATGCTCAGTGGGGGGGCCAGAAAGCAGTACAGGTTCGGGGGAACCCCGACCAAGCCCCTGGCTCAGCAACAGGGGAAGCACGTGCACCGACCGGTGGGGTGTGAGATGCTTAGCCCTCGAGGCGGGTTGGGGGTTAGTGTGAAGGGGGGGTTGAGCCGGTCGGCCAGTGCATATCTCCGTGGAGTTTTTATCTTTTCTCACCGCCCGAAATTCCCCGGTGCGCGAAATCGCGCGGGGGGGAGGGTGCTCGCGCGTCCGACCCTCCTGGCCGAGCTGAAGAAGATGTGTGTGTATATAGGTGTATGTATATGTATATGTATATGTATATGTATATGTATATGTATATGTATATGTATATGTATATGTATATGTATATGTATATGTATATGTATATGTATATATATATACTGTTAATATACATAGACTCACATATATATAGATATACATATGTATATAGTTGGTACCCCCCCCCGTGCGCAGGCTGTGTCCTGTTCAAGTCAGCCGCCTTGTGCATAACATGTGTTCGTGTCCCTTGCTCTTTGCCTCTCTAACTGAGTTCAGGGTTTACCATGGTTTTTGCTACTGAGGTTTCTCGAAATGTAGGGAAATTGTCATGGAAACGCTGGTTTTCCCAACATTGTGCACAAGCACAACATTGAAAATGTTCGTGTTGCCAACATTTCCAACAATTCTCATGATCCTGCAAACTATGATTCCGGCTGCCGCGGTGTCTCGAAGTTCACGGAAACCGTTGGACATGTTGGTTTGACCAGGGTTTTGTAAGATAAGTCATGGACATGTTGGTTTCACCAACAGTTCAATCAATTTCCATGATCCTTCAAAATTTGGCTCCGGCTCTCCGAGATTTCCCGACATCCGTGGAAATTCGTTATTGTCCACTGATAAGTGTTCCAAACGATGTTACCGTTTGTTGCGATGGAACACATCTCACGTACTCCGTACTCATGCGACGTGTTTTCCTGTTTGCAAAAACGGCGGATAAGGTATTTACATGTTGCGAATCAATCTGATTAAGCTGACTAGTTTGTTCATCACAAAACCAGGTAGTAATCTCTGCATGAAGACATTACTGCGAGAATACCAGTTCATGGGTTGTTTTCTGCTTATTATGTACAGAGCGATATTTTATGTCTACGATTCAAAAGTCTTCTGTAGGAAAACTACTGCTGCATGCACCCTGCCGGGCATGCCGGTTTAATCACGCACATCTGAGGGTAAATTTATAAAGTCTTACTTTGTGGCTTTTTGTGTTTGCATGGGCCTAATGCACTCGCAGCGGGTTAAACAACAATCAAATATGTCACTTGATTTACCCATCATGCCACTGGTATCAAGAAGTTTTACAAGCTGAGGTGTGAATATTCAACGAGTAGTGACTGGTAGGTTTATACTTTTCAAAGTAAAAGAAACACAGGACTCAGCAAGTAGTACATTTAATGTGTACTTTACAATGCTTGGTTAGTAGTAAGCAGGGTTACTGAACAACATGCGAAGTATTTTGCATGAAAAAACAACAGTAATGGACACAGCAACTCGATTCAGGAACGGTAAGAAACGGAGATGTACATAGTGTTAATTGGGTTGGTACTGATGAGGTACAACAACGACAGTAACAAGATCAATGGTAATGGCAGAAGCATGTCAAACGAGCATTGCTACTGGTGAGAACAGAAATAGAGATTGCATGCGTAAGGCAATGCAGACACGTATCATGACTGCTGCGAATTGCCACTATGCCTGTTATGTCATGTACTGTTTATTTGACAGATGCACGAACCATTGTGCGGTGCTGCGCAAGTATAGTGACACTATCGGACAATACGGCTTATTTCGGGGATATAAGTCTGTATGAACACACCAGCTCATGTAATAGACTGCGAATCCTGTCAACAGCACTGATGTTGTTGTGTATGAGCAAAGCGAAAGTTCAGTGAACCTTTGCTGTGTATACAGCCAACTAAACACAGCCACTGTCCACGTGGATACGAAATCCCTGCCATGAAAATTTATCTTATTCTTCGCGTGCTTCGGTAAGCCTGCTTCGCCAGACCCCCGCAGTTTTGTCACGCTGGCTCACCACTCTGCATCGGGTCCTCGCGACCACAGCCCTTGGTTGACACACCATTTTTCCTATGCCACTCCTTGCTTCTTTCTGCGTGCGCATGCGCTCCCAGCTCGTTTCTGCGCGATTTTCTTCGTGCTTGCTCATGATGCTCAAGCACACATATGGGTTGCTTTTGGCACAAACCTTTGACGCAACATCCATAAATCATGGTTGACTCATGTTTGCGAAATCCGCCACCCGTCTGCCCATTTAAACAAGGTATCAGCATATAAAGACTAAAACATGGGTACCGGACGGGGGTAGGATATGGCTATATTTATCTACATATGTATATGTATATATTTGCCTATCTGACTATAGGAGGGCGCGGTACATTCCTTTGTATCATGGGGAAGATGTTCTTTTTTCGCACCCGAACGATCCTGCTCTTTGTGAAGAAGCAAGGTCTGCACTCCGCGTACGGCAGAAGAGCAGCGAGGTTACAAAGACCTTCAGACTGAATATTCACGTGGATTGTGGGCTGGGTAGATGGAAAGCGGTGTTAGCAGAGTTTGTAGCAACTCCTTCCGGGAAGTTGGTGTTCGAGGGCCTAGATGGAGAGTCCCGGAGTGTGCAAGTTTAATCGGAGCTTGTTGTTCATTGCAGTTCCAACTTGTCATCTGCAGATGGAGACCTTGTGTCTGGGAGAATGTGTGGGCACAGTGTCCTGCTAAGCTGGCATGCATCAAACGATGTGTCGCAGCTGACAGAGCTGCATCTCAAGGATCCCGCCAGAGATTGCAACGACCATCGCAAGCGCTGTTGCAGGTGCGGCGGTTGCTTTTGCTTGCTGCATTAGTTCTTGGGCAATATCTACTGACTACTCATCTACGAAGGTGAGTGAACGTTCTCACCGAATTTTCAACGAACTTCTGGACTGTTCCTGCTGCTGCTACTGCCGCTGCTGCTGCTGCTGCTGCAGCTACTACTACTACTACTACTACTACTACTACTACAACAACTACTACTACTACTTGCTCAACTTTAGTCCCCGCAGAGCTGCCATAGGTGTGCCAGGTGGGTGACAAAAACTACAACAACAGCTACTAGTAGTGCCTACTACTACTACTACTGCTACCCCTACTACTACCACTACTACCACTACTACCACTACTACCACTACTACTACTAGGCTTGCGCGCCTCCTGGCGCCTGGTAGTTTGGAGGTGTTCGAGGGTCAAAAGTATCGGTTTTTACAGGGTTTTGTGAAACTCGCAGTTTGGGTACGTTGTCAAAAACTACTTTGTTTTACTAAGAATTACACTTTTGGATGACGATGATGATGCTAGTGATGCTACTGGTGATGATGAGGATGATGATGATGATGAAGATGCTGAGAATGCCATCGATGTGCATGTTATTGGAAGCCAATTTTAGGACTGAGGACTACGGCCACTAGTTCGAGGGTCAAAAGTATCGATTTTTACAGGGTTTTGTGAAAATCGCAGTTTGGGTACGTTGTCAAAAACTACTTTGTTTTACTAATAATTACACTTTTGGATGACGATGATGATGCTAGTGATGCCCCCGCACCAGTGGAAGAAAATGCTTCGAAAACACACGAAAATCGAGCCACACCGTGGGGATTGCGTTTTCGGCAAAAATCGCGGTTCAGCAAGTCGTGCTTGACACCCCCACCAAACCCTCCCCTCCCAGTCGAAGAAAAGGCCCCATAAAACGCTCCAAAGTACCGGCACTGCCAGTGTTTTTGGCAACAAGAAAACCATTGCGGTCGACCATGTCGTTATTAACCCCCCCCGCCCACCCCCCCCCCCAAAACCTCCCCGAAACACTTGAAAACAGAGCAAAACACCAGGCGCCAGGAGGCGCGCATGGGTACTACTACTACTACTACTCCTCCTCCTCCTCCTACTCCTACTCCTACTCCTGCTCCTGCTCCTATTACTGCTGCTGCGGCCCTGCTGCTGCTGCTGCCTCTTGCTTGCTTACTACTACCAGTTACTGCCACGACGACGACAACAACTACTGCTGCTACTACAACAACATACTACTACTACTACTACTACCACCACTACTACCTCTACTACTACTACTACTACTACCACTACTACTACTACTACTACTACTACTACTACTACTACTACTACTACTACTAGTACTAGTACTAGTACTAGTACTAGTACTAGTACTAGTACTAGTACTAGTACTACTACTACTACTACTACTACTACTACTACTACTACTACTACTACTACTACTACTACTACTTCTACTACTTCTACTACTTCTACTACCTACTACTACCTACTACTACCTACTACTACTACCTACTACGACGACGACGACGACTACTACTACTACTACTACTACCACCAGCAGCACTCCTAGTATACGTACTAGCACCAGTACTCGTACTTGTACTGTGTGCCGGGAATTTAGGGCCGCTGTTTGTGACGAAATTTTGCCAATCTTGCCCATCTTGGTCCACTTGCACCACTAGGGGGAGCAGACGCGGTAGCCATAGCCGTTTTCGCGGCAGTAGCCGTTGGAGTAGGAGGAGGAGTATTAGTATACAGTAATAGTCGTCGTCGTAGTAGTCGTAGTCACAGTCGTAGTCGTAGTAGTTGGTAATAGTAGCAGTAGTAGCAGCAGCAGCAGTAGGTGCTAGTACGTGGTGGTGATAGTAGTACTAGTACATTGTGCCGGGCAACGAGGGTCGATATTTGATCAAGACGGTACACCAAGCTTTGTACAGGCTTGCCCATCTTGGTCCACTTGAACCACTTGCACCACTGGGCAGGGAAGGGGCGGGAGGCACCAGTCATCTTGCCAACCTTGTCCATCTTGACCAAAAACCACTTGCACCAATTGACGGAGGGGAGTGGAGGGGGACTCTTGGTTATCTTGTAATCTTGCCGGGCTGCAACTACGGCTACTGCTACTGCTGCTGTTGCTGCTGACGCTGCTGCTACTGCTACTGCTGCTGCTGCTGCTGCTGATGCTGCTGCTGCTGCTGCCACTGCTACCGCTACTACCGCTGCTGCTACGACCACCACCACCACCACTACTACCACAGCCCCTGTTACCCCACCGCCGCCTAGGAGTGATGGCAACAATGCAGGTGATCAGCAGACAGTCACGATATCATGTCGATTGTTGTTATGTTTGCGACATGATTACTGTGAATGGAACGAACAGGAGAAGTTGAGAGAGCTGGGCCACGAGTATCAGACCGGCACACCTAAAACCTCACCGGCTTCACCAAGATCAACAAGCGAAGGTTCTGGCTCAAAGCCGTAGCAGCCACCAACCGAACCGTATCGTTTCGAAGCGATGATGTCGTCCTTCGCTGTCTTGACTCTTGCAGTGCTCGCGACGTCTGCCACCGCACATGATCACTGCAAGTTCCCTGTGCATCATCCGGAGAAGCTTTGTTCTCCTACAACAGAGGTCTTGGGCGACCTGGATCCCACCACACACTGCGTTCTGTACTCCGTCATGAACAACAACAAAAGTTGCAGCACAGTCTGCCGCGAAAAGAAGGCCAAGTGCGTTGACGCCGTGGACGATGTTCGCACAAAAAACCCGTGCAGGTACAACAAGGAGGTGCATGTTGATTGCGAGACTGCAAACTACTACGATCTCCATTGCATCTGCGAAGTGGAGACAGAGGAAGAGCCTGAGCCGCAGTGCGACTACCTGCATCCTTTGACCGGCAAAGCGGAAGTGGAGTGCACGGAGGGCACCTTCACCACCCAGCTCAAGGACGGTGGCAAGAACTGCGTGGCTCTCGCTCGCCTGCACAAGCGCTCCACCTGCACGGATTTCTGTAAGAGCAAAGGAGCCACTTGTGTCGATGCCGTCGACAACACCATCATTGGCAAGGGCTGTGAAGGATTTTACGACAAGGTCGAGTCTGTCGACTGTGATAGCACAGGATTTCAAGATTTGCACTGCGTCTGCACGAAGGAGGAGCCGACGACAACGACGACCACCACTACTCCAGGTTGTGAGGCGTTGCTTCCCTTCGTGAACCCAGGAGAGAAGTTCTGCACTGAGGGTGAGATCGTGGAAGAGTTGGAAGACGGCGGTGCAAACTGTGTGGTCTACGCCGTGTTGGCTAAGAAGACGACCTGCAACGATTTCTGTGAGGCTCGCAACACAGTTTGTGTGAACGCCATCGACAACCTGAAAATCGGCACAGGGTGCGAGTACGACCTCGAAGAGCAGGTGACGTGTGCATCGAAGCACTTCTTTGATATTCAGTGCGTGTGCCGGAAGCCAACTAGGCAAGGCTGCAGCAGTGTCGCGCTCTGCGATGAAGTTTGCAACATCACCTACGCAGAGGATCGGCACCAGGCACGATGCCTCCAGCATTGCGCCAGCAACGCAGACAAGTTTCTGGACTTCGTGAAGGATTCCTATGGTACGGTGGAAGAGAAGTGCGAGGAGATGGATGGTGCCGCCCTTCTCCAACGAAAGGTCGAAAGCGGCGTCGGTGCGGTCGCTCGTCATGACTCGCATTCGCATCCTCCGTGTGAGTACGGCAACTACTGTAAGGGCTTGTGTCAGGCTGTTGGATATCTCCACGCCTGTGAAGAGAAGTGCATGGCTGCGGCCCATGCTGTGAAATTCCTGCTCACGGAGTACTTCGACACCTGCATCGGCCCGCTGCAAGATGACATGAAGCGCTGAGAAACTCCACCAGGTGGATCCATCCCCCCCCTGAGGGTTCGAGCATTTTGACAGCATACCTCGAAGATTATCGCAGACATACTTCGCCGGGAGGTGGCCTTGAGGCCAATATGTATAGTTCGGTGCTCGACTTTCCGGGGCTCAGATTATTTGTAGAGGCAGCCTCCTGATCCACACTGAATCCTTCGGGTCAGCAACTAATCCCACTGACAACAGAACGGGCTTAGATGTTGGAGACTGTCTCAATAATTTTCGCCGTGCCATCTCCGAATGGAGAGCGGGACGTTTAATTGTTCATGGCGTGCAGCCTTCGGCGCCCGAAGGTTGAGGCTTATGCACTTCAGAGGGAGCCAATATACTCTGCTTAGCTCTTACAAAACGAGCACAAAGCTTCGACGAAGCTGCAAGCTTTGCAGGCACTAGGAAGGTTATCTGTGAAGTTGCAGGGAGCTTGCCTGAGAGTAAGTGCTGAACCAAAGCGCGAGAGTCTGCAGAGTCTGCCTGAGGTCTCCGGGACTCGCTGCCGAATCAGCGTCGCCAAGGGGAGGCACCCGGATGCAAGAGTTTCGAAAAGGGGTGTACCGTTTTTTCGGAGCTCGCGGGATCTTGTGGGGTTTCTGTCCAGGGGAAGACAGGGTAGGCGAGAGGACATTGTAGTTGTTTGTCCTCAAAGAGGCCGCGGGTCAATGAGTTTGAAGATGGAGGGTCTCTTTGGAGGGCTGAGGCTTCTGACCTAGCCTGCTGGGCAGGTCTACCAGCTGTGTGTGCACATCTTGCCGCATGCTCAGCCTGCCACATCGACGTCTGTGAGACTGTGAGCGCTGTCTTGGGGAGCCGAGGCGCATCGTTCGACCGCAGGTGTCAAATCAGCCGACGCCCCGGTTTTGAAAGCTGATATTGCATGAGCATGATGGTCGAAGCAGAGCCCTGTTCGACGAACCCCACCTCGCATTCGCAAGCACTACATGCGAGATCCTAACATTATCAGGGTTTTTGAGAATCGAGGACGCGATTCAAAGCTCTGCGGCTTAGACACCGTGCTTTTACCCAGCAGTGCTCGGCTATCAGGCGTCCAGGCCACCGGCCGTAAACCGGACACCCGAGCCTCCTAACGGGAAAAGGTGATGGAGTCTGATGGAGCATCTGACCAAAGGTACGGGTATTTGTCGCAGTGCCACCATCTTCAAGTCAACCGTGGGAAAGTTTGTACGAGTAGATGGCAACAGCTGATGCAGGATCTCAGCGTCGGTTCAAAACTTACTGCGTAGCAAAACCGCAACCATAGCGACAGCAGAGAGAGCAAGCAAGATGGACAGAATTGACAGAACCTGCTGTATCATTATTGGATAGCTGCCTGCAAGGATACATGCAGGCATAAAGTCATATAGTAGTAGCAAAAATATTGGCATTGGTTCCGGGTATGGCAAACGGCACTAAATCGAAGCATTTGGTGGTAGCTGTACTGGGGCGAGCAGGGCTGTGGAAAGGGCTGCTCGAAAGCCAGGAACCATAACAACCCCGAAGAAGCGAGGAAGAGACATCAGAAAAGTCTGCTTGACCAGGTCAAGCAAGAGGCAACTTCAGGCAGCTGGGGAGAGGCCCATGTCAGCCGATGCTGGAAGCCACTCAGCTTGCGTATGTGGAGGATGTTAAGGCATGAAATTCAGCACATTCGACCCGAAGCTTTTCAATTCCTCCTCACTGAGAGCCTTCTCTCGGTTTAGGAATACCGAAATGCCACTTCGACAGGCAAAGTCGTTCAGCAAGAAATCATGCAGCAAAGTGGGGTGCAGGGCAGGCAGTCCACAAAGAGTGTACTGCCGTGGAAAGGGCTTTCGCACGCGTGATATTTAGTGTGTACAATCCTTCAATCATTGTAGGTGACATGAGCAACATACTGAGTAGTGACACTCGCGGCTTCCATGTGCGATATCTTGCAGAGCCTGGCATGTAGGGTCACACTTGAAACGAGCCGATAATGCAATATAGTATATTTTAATTTTGTTAATCATAGCACAAAGGTGAGGTAAGACGTTGAAATACAGTATACTATCATATAATCTTTTCCGCACCGGACCGAAGTTTGTCGCAGTCCATGTTGCTTTAGGCCTCGTTGTCTTTCCGAGAGAATCCACGACTTCCTGTACTCGCTCAGTAAGACCACCCGGGCATGCATTGCAGTACCAAAACACAAACAAGTAGTTCATCGCGTCCCAAACAATGCCATACACAGGTACCAGTTTTCAGCAACAGTTGAGCCTATATACCAATGTGGCACGGACCTTTAGGTATAATGTGTGGGTTTGTTGTTGGGTCAGCCTTATTTCTTTCCCACTCTGGAGGCTGTTTTGCAGGCACCGTCCATCAAACAGCCGTGAGTTTAACTAGCGGTTGAACCAACAATCGGTCGCAACACAGTGAGATGCTATGTTGCCTTTGTCACGCTGTGACAGATCCAGGCCGCGGATGCTGTGGGGAATGGTAAGCGGACCTCCGATGATACAGTTCTCAAGGCCGTAAGGCAACGAAGAGATTTTGATATGTGGGTACAGACCGTGCCTAGACCTCTGGAGCGGTTCGTCGAGTAGCACATGACAACAGAAGCTGTCACACCTTCGTCATATATCTCTGACGATCGCACAACCTTTTTCATCTGCTTTCATATCGGCGGCGTGGTCTGCGATTCGGCGTTCATTCGTCTCCTCTCCTTTTCAACACATGGAAGCGAGCGTTCGATCGAAAAGAAGGGACGGAGCTCTTCCAAATTTCAAACCTTGACAAGAGAAGCCTGGTCCTCCCTTGCGGCCTTCAAAGGGCAAATAGCAGCCTTCTACCTCATCCTCTGAAACAAGCAGAAAACTCAATCCAAGCTATTTTCGGTAAGAGAAGACAGCTTCTTTCCAGAAGAGCTCTTCATGTTTTGGCAAGTCTTCATCCTAATCCTACGAAGACTGAAGAGAGCTCGCCCCTGAAAACATGGACAGAATTCCCCCGGCATTCAAAAGCAATGCATAAGTTCTGTACTTCATCCTCGACAAGAAGAGAGCTTCCTTCAACTTATTAACGAGACAGACGAGGGCCCCATCTCAAATTAGCACACAAGCCCATCCAACTTCGCGAGAGAGCAGAGTGCTCATCCTCGACAAGAAGAGACTGAGAGCTTCCTCCAATCTGATGAGACAGAAGAGAGCTCCATTTACAAAATGACAACCATGTCCCTACAAGATATCGAGGAAAAGGAGAGCTCCGTTTGTTTACCCCTCAGTCGGCAAGAAGAGACAACGAATCTCTACAGGTAAGAAAAGGAGATCATGACTATCCCTTCTACCTTTTCAATATAAGGAAATGAACAGAAGAGATAGCGGAGCTCCTACCCAACCTTCAAAGAGAGAAATCCTGCCTTTGCCTCAACCTTGAAAACTCCCCCACCTCATGCCACCAACAAGAAAAGAGCTCCTCCCCAAGATTTTCGTGGTAAGAGAAGAGAGCTTCTTTCTCGAAGAGAGGTCCATTACCTGTTGGGAGGCCGCTTCTCAGTCTTGCGAAGACTGGAGGGACTTCACTCCTAGCCGTAGCCAGAGAGGACAGAGACGACCTCCCCCTCAACAGTGTGTGAGTTCATCGAAAACAGGAAGAAAGCTCGCTCCAATTTCACAAGAAAGAAGAGGGCTGCTCCAAAAACCTCTTGGTAAAGGAAGAGATCCCGTGGCAGGTCCTCCACCCCAGCAATTGAGAAGACAAGCCCCTCTAACTTTCGGAAAAACACGCGCTCTGTTTACCTCTCTGTCGACAACAAGAAGACTCCTTTCTCCCTTAGTCAGCGGCGAGAGCTCCTGACCATCTCCTCTCCTCTTCAATACATTCGAGCGAGCGTTCGATCAAAAAGAAGGGACGGAGCTCTTCCAAACTTCAAACCTTCACAAGCGAAGTCTGGTCCTCCCCTGCGGCTTTCAAAAGGCAAAGAGAAGCCCTCGACCTCATCCTCGGAAACAAGCAGAGAACTCAATCCAAGTTACTCTTGGTAAGAGAAGACAGCTTCTTTCTAGAAGAGAGCTCCTTTGCCTGTCAGTAGAGGAAGAGATACACTGGCAAGAGAGGACAGAGCTCGAGCAGCTTCCAAAAAGAAAAGCCCTCTCTACCTCGTCCTCGACAAGAAGAGACTGAGAGCTTCCTCCAATCTAATGAGACAGAAGCGAGCTCCATCTCAATAAAAAACAAACAAGCCCCTCCAAGATATCGAAAAAGAAGAGAGCTCCGTTTACCCCCTAGTCGGCAAGGAGAGACCTCCTTCTTTCTAGGCAAAAGGAGATGCTGACTATCCCCTTTACCCCTTCAAAAGACGAAGAGAGCATACGCTCAAAGAAAGGGTGGAGCCCTTCAAACAAAGAGGTCTGGCCCTCTTGAAAAAGAAACAGAACTCGTCCACCTCATGCTCTAAAAGAAAAAGAAGAGAGCTCCCCCGACATTTTCGTTGTAAGAGAAGAGAGCTTCTTTCTAGAGAGCTCCATTACCTCTTGGTAAGTCGCTTCTCAACTTTGAGAAGAGTGAAGAGACCTCACTCCCAGCCAGAGAGGACAGAGACGCCCCTACCCTCAACAATGAAGCAATACCTTATCATCCAAAACCAAAAGAAAGCTCCCTCCAATTTCATAACGAAGAAGAGGGCTGAGGAGGAGATCCCGTGGCAGGTCCCCTACCCCCAACGACCCAGAAGACAGGCCCCTCTACAACTTCGCGAAAGAGGAGATCGCCCCACTTATCCCTCAGTCGGCGAAATAAAGCCTCTTTTCTCCCTTGGCAAGGGAAATTAAGAGAGCTCCTGACTCTCCCTTCTTCCTCTTCAGAAGTTGGACTGGAGCTTACCAGAGCTCCCCCAACTTCCAAAGACAAGAGCAAAAGAAGAAGAGACTGAGAGCTTCCTCCAACCTGGTGAGACAGAAGAGAGCTCCATCTACAAAATGAAAACCATGTACCTACAAGTTATCGAGAAAAAGGAGAGCTCCGTTTACCCCTCAGTCGGCAAGAAGAGACCAAGCTTCTCTACAGGTAAAAAACGAGATCCTGACTATCCCTTCTACCTTTTCAAAATATGGAAGAACATGGACAGAGTTCCCCCGGTATTCAAAAGCAATGCATAAGTTCTGTACTTCATCCTCGACAAGAAGAGAGCTTCCTTCAACTTATTAACGAGACAGACGAGGGCCCCATCTCAAATTAGCACACAAGCCCATCCAACTTCGCGAGAGAGAAGAGTGCTCATCCTCGGCAAGAAGAGACTGAGAGCTTCCTCCAATCTGATGAGACAGAAGAGAGCTCCATTTACAAAATGACAACCATGTCCCTACAAGATATCGAGGAAAAGGAGAGCTCCGTTTGTTTACCCCTCAGTCGGCAAGAAGAGACAACGCTTCTCTACAGGTAAGAAAAGGAGATCATGACTATCCCTTCTACCTTTTCAATATATGGAAATGAACAGAAGAGATAGCGGAGCTCCTACCCAACCTTCAAAGAGAGAAATCCTGCCTTTGCCTCAACCTTGAAAACTCCCCCACCTCATGCCACCAACAAGAAAAGAGCTCCTCCCCAAGATTTTCGTGGTAAGAGAAGAGAGCTTCTTTCTCGAAGAGAGGTCCATTACCTGTTGGGAGGCCGCTTCTCAGCCTTGCGAAGACTGGGGGGACTTCACTCCTAGCCGTAGCCAGAGAGGACAGAGACGACCCCCCCCCAACAGTGTGTGAGTTCATCGAAAACAGGAAGAAAGCTCGCTCCAATTTCACAAGAAAGAAGAGGGCTGCTCCAAAAAACCTCTTGGTAAAGGAAGAGATCCCGTGGCAGGTCCTCCACCCCAGCAATTGAGAAGACAAGCCCCTCTAACTTCTCGGAAAAACACGCGCTCTGTTTACCTCTCTGTCGACAACAAAAAGACTCCTTTCTCTCTTAGTCAGCGGCGAGAGCTCCTGACCATCTCCTCTCCTCTTCAATACATTCAAGCGAGCGTTCGATCAAAAAGAAGGGACGGAGCTCTTCCAAACTTCAAACCTTCACAAGCGAAGTCTGGTCCTCCCCTGCGGCTTTCAAAATGCAAAGAGAAGCCCTCGACCTCATCCTCGGAAACAAGCACAGAACTCAATCCAAGTTACTCTTGGTAAGAGAAGACAGCTTCTTTCTAGAAGAGAGCTCCTTTGCCTGTCAGTAGAGGAAGAGATACACTGGCAAGAGAGGACAGAGCTCCAGCAGCTTCCAAAAAGAAAAGCCCTCTCTACCTCGTCCTCGACAAGAAGAGACTGAGAGCTTCCTCCAATCTAATGAGACAGAAGCAAGCTCCATCTCAATAAAAAACAAACAAGCCCCTCCAAGATATCGAGAAAGAAGAGAGCTCCGTTTACCCCTTAGTCGGCAAGGAGAGACCTCCTTCTTTCTGGGCAAAAGGAGATGCTGACTATCCCCTTTACCCCTTCAAAAGACGAAGAGAGCATACGCTCAAAGAAAGGGTGGAGCCCGGCAAACAAAGAGGTCTGGCCCTCTTGAAAAAGAAACAGAACTCGTCCACCTCATGCTCTAAAAGAAAAAGAAGAGAGCTCCCCCGACATTTTCGTTGTAAGAGAAGAGAGCTTCTTTCTAGAGAGCTCCATTACCTCTTGGTAAGTCGCTTCTCAACTTTGAGAAGAGTGAAGAGACCTCACTCCCAGCCAGAGAGGACAGAGACGCCCCTACCCTCAACAATGAAGCAATACCTTATCATCCAAAACCAAAGGAAAGCTCCCTCCAATTTCATAACGAAGAAGAGGGCTGAGGAGGAGATCCCGTGGCAGGTCCCCTACCCCCAACGACCCAGAAGACAGGCCCCTCTAGCTTCTCGAGAAACATTACATAAGCCCCTCCAACTTCGCGAAAGAGGAGATCGCCCCACTTATCCCTCAGTCGGCGAAATAAAGCCTCTTTTCTCCCTTGGCAAGGGAAATTAAGAGAGCTCCTGACTCTCCCTTCTTCCTCTTCAGAAGTTGGACGGGAGCTTACCAGAGCTCCCCCAACTTCCAAAGACAAAAGCAAAAGAAGAAGAGACTGAGAGCTTCCTCCAACCTGATGAGACAGAAGAGAGCTCCATCTACAAAATGAAAACCATGTACCTACAAGTTTTCGAGAAAAAGGAGAGCTCCGTTTACCCCTCAGTCGGCAAGAAGAGACCAAGCTGCTCTACAGGTAAAAAACGAGATCCTGACTATCCCTTCTACCTTGTCAAAATATGGAAGTGAACCTAAGAGATGGTGGAGCTCCCACCCAGCCTCTTTTCCTTCTTTCAACATTGAAAACTCCCCCACCTCATGCCGCCAACAAGAAGAGAGCTCCTCCCCAAGAGTTCCGTGGCAAGAGAAGAGGGCTTCTTTCTAGAAGAGAGGTCCATTATCTATTGGTAAGCCGCTTCTCAAGACTGGAGAGACTTCACTCCTAGCCACAGAAGACAGAGACGACCCCCCCAACAGTGTGTGAGTTCTCTACCTAATCATCGAAAACAGTAAGAAAGCTCGCTCCAATTTCACAAGAAAGAAGAGGGCTGCTCCAAAAACCTCTTGGTAAAGGAAGAGATCCCGTTGCAGGTCCTCCACCGCAACAAGAACAGGGTATTCTTTAATAATTTGGAAAAAAGCCTGACTTTCTTGAAAAAATAAAGACAATTGTTTCAAAGTGCTTCGAAAAAATTCCATCAAAAGGAACACTTGTTGAAACAATAAAACTAATTGAAATAATAAAGACCCTGGCCAGGCCCGACCGCCGCCGGCCAGGATTCTTTAAAATTGGAAAAAATTATTGAAAAAATAAAGACAATTTGTTCAAAAATTTCAATTTTTTCAAAAAAAATTTCCTTTTGGATAAAATTTTTGAAAAAATTGAATTTTTTGAAAAAATAAAGGCCTTGCCAGGCCCGGCCATCGCCGGCCAGGATCCTTTTAAATTTTTCGAAAAAATTGAATTTTTTGAAATTTCTGAAAAAAAACAAATGTTTCAATTTCTGAAAAAAAAATGAAATTTTTGAAAAAATAAAGACCCTGGCCAGGCGCGGCCGTCGCCAGCCAGGATTCTTTAAAATTTTTGAAAAAATTGAAATTTTTGAAAAAATAAAGACAATTTTTTCAAATTTCAATTTTTTCAATAATTTTTCCTTTTGGAGAAAATTTTTGAAAAAATTGAAATTTTTGAAAAAATAAAGACCCTGGCCAGGCGCGGCCATCGCCAGCCAGGATTCTTTGAAATTTTTGAAAAAATTGAAATTATTGAAATTTTTGAAAAATGAAGACAATTTTTTTCAAAAAATTCATTTTTTTCAAAAATTTTTCCTTTTGGATAAAATTTTTGAAAAAAATTGAAACCCTCAAAAAATACAGACCCTGGCCAGGCGCGGCCGTCGCCGGCCAGGATTCTTTAAAATTTTTGAAAAAATTGAAATTTTTGAAATTTTTGAAAAAATAAAGACAATTTTTTCAAAAATTTCAATTTTTTCAAACATTTCACTCAAAAGGAAAAATTATTGAAAAAATTGAAATTTTTGAAAAAATTGTCTTTATTTTTTCAATAATTTCAAAAATTTCAATTTTTTCAAAAATTTTAAAGAATCCTGGCCGGCGACGGCCGGGCCTGGCCAGGTCTTTATTTTTTCAATAGTTTCAAGTTTTTCAAAAATTTATTTGAAAAAATTGAAATTTTCTATAAAAACTGTCTTTACATTTTCAAGAATTTCAAAAATTTCAATTTTTTCAAAAATTTTAAAGGATCCTGGTGGGCGACGGCCGCGCCTGGCCAGGGTCTTTATTTTTTCAAAAATTTCATTTTTTCAAAAGTTTTCTCCTAAAGGAAAAATTTTTGAAAAAATTAAATGTATTGAAACTGGTTTCTGTATTCTCGTATCCCCTATGCGTCCTTCGAAACAACCGAGACCTGCAAATCATACATAGAGGTCCAATACACATATACCAATACAGAGACACAGCATGGCCATGTCTCACAAAACACGCAGGTACTGCAGAGAATAGCACGGTGAATCATGTCAACGACGCCAGTATTACATAGAAGTCCCGAAACATAAGATGTGCTCTAGCTGCATCAATGCATACCAGATGTGTTTGCCCTCGCTGTGCACTATTCATGCTTCTTGCTTGTGTTGCACAAACGGACTATGTTACAAAGCAATGAAGATGACAGTAGCAATAAATGTGTTGTGCCCGCAGACGCACAACCCAGTACTAGTAATGAATATGTAGTGTTGCAGGTGCTGGTATGCATTCTCGTTATAGAACTCGTAAGTGTGGATAAGTGTGGTATACACCCGTAGTAACCCGTATGGCACCCTTAAATGAACACTTATCCTTGTACCGCGGAGCCGCTACATAGTGTGCCACCGGCGTGACCAACGGCAACCCTTCTAGCACCCTTCTCTCCCCAAGCCCGTTCTCGTGGCAGGCCGGCGAAACGAGCCAGAGGTGGCTCGGAGCCATCAGGAGCGGCTCCAGTGTCTTTGGATTGCCCACACAGCGGAGGGGGGGGTGCAACGGTGACTATAAGGTTTCTTGTACTAGGGCTCCCTTTAAGGGTTTTGTCAGGATACTAGAAGGCTTCAGAGCAAACCGCAGACGAAAAATAAGTAATGGGTTGCAGTTTTCAGGGTTTGGGGGTAGGGTAGTTTGGGAGAGTGGATGGAAGTTAGGGGAAGTGGCAAAACGTCGCATGCCTTCGACGTGTCTCTGCTCAAGTCAGATTCTCAAATCCTTTCTCCCAGTAGCCTGGTGCTCATGCTATACCTTCCATATATGAAGCCTAGATGCATCTAAGGAGAAGTGTGCCGAATTCTCTGTAGAATCTGAGCCCTACCTCTAACGGCGCGTCCGAATGCCAATGTGGACTACTCTCTGCCGTTGATCTCTTGCTGCTTCAGAAGAATTTGTGACCCGATCGGAATCGACCAAGTGCAAGCAACTGCACGAACAGCGACCCTCGCTGGATTGGTGATGTACTCGGCAGGCAGAGCTCAGAACGGTGCCCAGAAAGGGCCAGTGAAGCGAGCTCCAGCCGGCTTCTTCTTGGACTCAGTCATTGAGCCCGCCCCAGGCACGCCCCATGAGGCTCTCGTGCCTGTTTCACCTGAGCCGCCTGCACCGTTGCGCATGGCTCCGAAGCGCAAGGCCTCAGAAGGATGTGCGACCGGTCCAGAATCACTCGATGAAGGCAGGACCGCTGGAGCACTGCTGCATGATCCAGCAGGCTCTGCTGCAAATTGGGCTGTTGTGGCCACCAGCCCTGGGTGTCCACAACCAATGCAGCGAGCTCCAGCCGGCTTCTTCTTGGACTCCGTCATTGCGCCTGCGCCAGAGACGCCCCATGAGGTCCTTATCCCAATTTCACCTCAGCTTCCCTCGCCGATATACAGCCCGGAGGGCACTGGATCGGTGGTGCGGAGCTTCGAATTCGGTGTTGTCGCCGATGAAGTAGCGGAAGCTGCAATCACCGATGCGCGCCCCGTACACCCGACGCCTGCCAGGAGTCGACTTGATGTGGATTCGACGAAAAGTACGGAAGAGGAGTCCAGCGATGGTGAGATCTGCGATGATCCTGATGAGAGGAAGCCGTGCATGGTCATAACTAGCAAGGCCGACCTGGAAGAGGCTACGGAATTGTGCCTGGTTTTGTTGAGAGCAGCCGCAGTCGTCTTGAAGGAGAACCCTCGCATGGAGCATCCGTGGGCCGTTCCGGCTTGCCTTTTGGATGCAAGCCTCGAGGATGCGAGCCCAGCACTCTTTTGGCGTTGCTGGCGGCACTTTTTCTCTGTGCCGAACCAGCCCAAACGGAACACCCTTTCAGAGTTTTTGATGCTCAGCGATGCTGCGCGACGAGCACGCCGCAAGGTGCAGAAGGGCATCGTGTGTATATACTTGTCACAGGACTTGGAATAATCTCATGTCAACTCATTTCCCGCTCAATGCAAAAGCCACCGTTCTTTTGACAGCCAGTATGTAAACCTTCACATGCCTGCTTCCGCTTCCGGCCGAATTGAAAGCGAGGCCGCGGCCGCAGCGCCTCCGCAAGCCGCTCGCCCTCCCTGAGGCCACATTCGCCTCGGCGGGGCTCTCGATCTTTCAGTGAGTGCTGTGCCGCATACAGTACTCGCATCAGGCGTTCTAACCTCCCGTAGCCGAAGCAGGTCGTGGCAACAGCATCACCGCCTGTCAGAAGTTGCAGCAGTCCCCGAGGCTGAAAGCAGCATCGGCTTTTTCTTCCAACAGGTGGATCAGCTTCTGAAAAAACTTCGGCCGTTAGGCCATGGTATGCAGCATCTAAAGTCTTGGCGTGCCTTGACTTGTAGAATTCCACAGACTCAGTGTTGCTTCAGATGTCGGTGCGTACGAAATGGCAGGGAGGAACGGCCTGAACTTCTGATTCCTGACCCCGCGGTTGGAAGCTTGAGGAGATTCGGCTGTTCGGCCTCACTTTGCACTCTAAGTGTGTAGTGTGGAGGATTGGGGGCGTAGTCATAAGAAACTTCTGCTGCTTTCTTGCATGGCCTGCGTGATTCCCGGCATCATGAGCCCTGTACTGTTCCATCCTGACATCAGAAGGGCTCCAGTCAAGATGCCGCAGTCGATGCAGGCAGAAGCAGCGACATTGAGTGGTTGTGACCTCCATCAATGAGTCTGAGTAGACATGTGCTTGAGCCTCTGGCGCTTTAGTTGGGGCTTTGCGCAGCAGTTTCGATCCGAAAGCTGGGTGAACATCAGTAATGCAGCAGCTCTTCGGGACACCGATGGCGACTATCGTCCAAGGTTCCAAGAAGCACTGTGTTGGTGAACGGAATCCACATTCCGCATTTTGCCGTGTGATGCGCAAAGCTCGCCCGTGTGATGCGCAGAGGAATATGCCTCCTGGTGTTGCAATGTCGTACTTCTAAGCCCCTTCAAGCTGTCTTTGCAATCAGCGCTGATTCATAAGACGCGGCGAGGTCAGATGACACCATGCAACCATGGATGTCGCATCTGCCTTTCGCTGCGCATGACGACAGCTTTTGCCACGAAAAGTAGCACCATGTTGAGGCATGCGAGATGCACATCTGAACTCACTCAAAGCGCTCTCATGACTTCACCATTTCTGAGCTGTTGTTGTCTCCGTGCCTGCAGGCCTGGATTTTCTGTGAGTCCATCACAGCCCCCTACGACTTTGCGCACATCTTGTCGTCAACTGTGCACCGCAATCAAGCTTGGAGCTCTCGGAGTCGGGTTTCTCATGTGAGCCGTCGTGCAGTGCCTGCGAGATACCAGAGTCCCGACGTGCAATCTTGGCTCAGGCGAGTGTGTCAGGGCTTGCCGGTGCATTCGAAATCGAAGCAGACGCCGTGGCCTTTGTCTTTCCGTGCGTTTGGTTTGTACTGCAAACTAACACACTGTGCCATCCAAGGGTTCCCCGCGTCACAAAAAACACATACACACACTCTCCTGCTGCGCAATTCCCGACATATCGAAGTTTAGGCTGGCAGCCTAGTAATGCCCATGCAGTGGCGTGCAGCGCAGTCTGCGCATTCCAACTCAGACGGCTGCAATTTATCTTCAATCGAGGGGATGGTTGCAAGATTGAAGCAGCTTGTTCTGAGACAAAGGGTGTGGGCATATTGTCGCATGGACTAGCCGTAGCTGGTACTGCTTTCTGCCGTGGACTCAGGCTCGCAGCCGTGAAGACACAACATTCAGATAGCTTCGGGCGGCATCTGTGGAGCTCATGGCTGGTCCAGAAGATGGAAACCTCATGAAGGTGGTAAAGTTGGCCGAGTCACTCCGGAAAGAACCTCGACGGACTTCTACACCAGATCGCTCAGAGATTGCAGCAGAAATTGCTCGGGCTGTGCATGCAGAGGTTCAATCCCCTAGCAAAGTCTGTGATGTGAGCGCATCGGATCTGGCCGTGTGCTTATGGGCCGCTGCGTGGTTGAGGGATGCTCAGCCGGAGGTATTGGAGATATTGCCGATTCTTGTCGCGCCAATGCCTGGTAAGGCATGCAGTCTGCATGCAGACGAGCTCAGCAATTGCATGTGGGAGGTGGCGTGGCTGAAGGACGCTGCGCCAGAGGTGCTGCAGATTTTGCCGGCTCTAGCCAAACAAATCCCAGGCAAAGCCGATGAATTGAAACACATCCGGGATCACTACATCTGCTTGTGGGCAGCATGGGAGCTGAAAGATGTTGCGCCTGAGTTGCTGAAGGTCGTTAATGACGAGTTGGCACAGCACCAGCCGGATGTGGAGCTCATGGTTCCAAACGTGGCCGATTTCATGGATGGCTTGCGCGAGGTCTGGTTTGAAGAGTCGGTGCCTGATGCATTGAAGGCGCAGGTCCTGAATGCAGTTGTGGAAGAGGCCCCACGCGCAGCACCCGCGATGTCTGCAAGGGACTTGTGCACATGCATTGTGTCAGGAAGCATCTTGCTGGAGCATTTGTCGTTTCGCGAATCGGACTATGACTATGAACGCTTGCAGGACATTATGCCGGCACTCGCAGCAGAAATTCCCAGGAATGTGCATTGCATGGAAGCACGAGACTTGGGCCGTGTCTTGGGGGGAGTGGCAGATTTGCATTTCGCTGTGCCGGACGTGTTGGAGGCTTTACCTGCGGTTATGGCGCAAATCCCAGGCAAGGTTAGCGAAATGAAAGCAGCGAAAGTAGGCTCTTGCTGCCTGTGCGCAGCTTGGAGCTTGCAGTTTTGGGCGCCAAACTTGTTAAACATGGTGGTCGAAACCCTGGATGTGCTCGACACCTTCAGCCGTGTGGGGTCGTGGAGCCGGAATGCTCCGGCATGGTTCATCGACACTGCTATGGACATAGTTTTGCCGCAGATTTCAGACTTGATTGCTGACATGGAGGCAGCAGACTTGGCGACAAGCCTTGTTGCAGCAGCGGAACTGAAAGATGAGTCGCCAGAGGTGTTGCAGATCGTGACGCTTTTGATTCCACGCATTCCAGGCATGGCTTTTCGGAAAGTTTGAGTGACTGATTCGGCATATTTCGGCATGCTTCATCATGAAGAGATAATAGTCTAGAGACCGTGCGTGCGGAGCTATGTTTTGATCCAGCATAACGGCATAACAGTCATCACAGTAGCAGCAGCACTGGACGAGGCCTGCAAACCAGAAAGATTTTTTTGCAGAGTGGAGTCGGAGGTGGGTTCGGGACGCGGGTCGGACTCGGAGGGCCCCAGGACGGGGAAAGGAAGGGCGGTAGTTGGGTTGCCACCGAACCGCAACGAGAACCAGCTCGTGTTTGAGCTTCGGGTTTCAAGATCTGGAGTTGCTCCGATCTCCCAGCGTGCTGGCCTCCGATCCCGCGGTCCTTGGGTACCCAGTACACAGCACCAGGATAAGAAATGCAAGTGTCACAGGGAAGAAGACGGCGACGACCAGCAATGATGAACACAGCAATGAGAGCCTCATCGACCATGTTTGCAACACACCTTTTTCCGTTGATACGGAGAAATTTCCGCCGTGTGTCGTTTCAAGTTTCTTGTTTCAGTTGCGCCCCACATTTGCTCGCGTTCCCCGTCCTGAGGCAAAGCTGCTGACATGTCTGGCTTTGGGGTCTCACAATGCTTGTGGGCAGCAGCGATGTTGAAGGATGACAAGCCAGAGGTGTTGACGATCGTCCCGGCGATTGCCCTTGAGGTCGGGCACAAGGTAGGGGGCATGAACGGACCTGTGTTGTCCAAGACTGCCTATGCCGCGGCCATGCTGAAAGATGTGGTGCCAGAAGTCCTGACCTTCTTACCCAAGATCACGAAGGAGATCTTGACAGAAGGCACCAGCGAACATTTGATAACATCCTGATTGGGGAAAGCTGTGTCTTTGTCTTGCGCGCAGCTGTGGAGCTAAAGGATGTGTCTCCTTCCTACTTGGAGATGTTGCCTTCGATTGTGACGAAAGCGGTGCAGAACGTCATCCGCATGTCTGGGCATGCTTTGGCAACTTGCCTTTGGGCAGCAGGCAAGCTAGTGGAGTTGCAACCAAACATCCTGAAGTTGGTGCCTGTGATTGTGCCAGAAATCAAGAAAAGTGTGGCCGATATGAGCGCCGATGATCTGGCTGATTGTCTGTGCGCAGCTGCCGATTTGGAAGATGTGGCGCCCGAAGTTTTGACGATTCTTCCGGTCATCATCACCGAACTCAAAGCTCAAGCCAGAACGAAGAAACTGGCAAGTTTGGGCTCTTGCTTACGGGCAGTGCGGGCCTTGGAAGATGCTTACCCGCAGGTGCTCGCGATCGTGCAGTCAATTCTGCTGCAGATTACAGATGCAGGTGCTGAGTTGTCGAGAGAGTCCCTCGGCGGAGCATTGCAAGCTCTTTTGGCAAAGCTGGAAGTTGGAAGCACGTATAAGCGGTGTGCATCTGACGAAACGGACCGCGACATGAAGCTCAACACGACAAAGGCAGTTGTGCATGAACAGAAGGAGAAGAGAAGGCGTGTCATGCAACGAAATGATTCGCCAGCAGAAAATTGCAAGTTGGCACCGGTTCCAACACCTGTCCGGGCCGTGGGTGCTTCTGGATTGTAGAGCCGGTGGAAACAACGTGCATAATCTCAGGCGGAGTGCAGGGCCTACAAACGGTGCAACCAAGCCCATTTTTGATGATTGTTTGTGAAGTGTTGTGACTTTGTTCGCAGAGTTCAATCGCCCTCGCGCTCGCCCAGGCAAGTGGATAGAATCTTGGCCCGTCCCGCCATCTGCGCAGATAATCGCAGATGCCATTATGCAGTATTGTAGACGTGTATGACCGACGATGCTCGCTGGAAAATTGTGCGGGCCCTTGTTGTTTATTGCCAGATGATGTCACGCCTGTACGAGCATGTTCAATGTTTCCTGAGTGGTCGCACATGTCATCCATGTTACTTGAGCTTGGCAGTGTATAGCCCCATGTCGCTGAGGCATTAGGGGCGGCACCCGTTCCTCTGGCATGCCGGCTGCTGACTGCATGCCACCTTTTCGAATGCCAGAAAACGCAGCCGGGTGCCGACGGTGGTTGCCTTTATCCTATCGTGCCACGAGCCAACAGTTGTGTTTCAGTGTTCATACTCAGCTTTGCAGCTCCCGTACTTCCCGTCTGACTTGAGGCACCGCCGTGCAATCTTGGCTCAGACAAGTGTTTCTGGTTTTGCCCGTGCCTCCGAAAACAAAGCAGACGCCACGGGCTTGGTGTTTCCGCAAGCTGAGTTTGCACTGCGATCGAACACCCACGACCCAATAAACCATGCTTGCAACCCTGCCCTGCGCAGTTCAGGACATGTCGAAGCCCAACGACGAGGGCCTGGTCTTCGAAACCTCCGAGGATGTGGAAGTGCCTTCTCTGCCATGGTCTGGAGCGTTCGCTTTGGCTGAATTCACCCGGCTCAAACGGCACGGATGACAGTCAGACCGCTGGCCGGCCTCACAGTGCACATTCGAAGCATGACAACAAGACTGGAAAATTCAAGGTACTGCCTACATTCGACGCGCTTGGGCTCAAGGAAGACCTGCTCCGAGGTGAGGGGAAGGGAAGGCTGGTCTTACTTTCACGGTCATGAGAGACATCCATATTCCAGTGCAGTCCCCGCTTAAGGCCACCACATCGCAGTCTCGTAAAGCACCTCCCGAGAAT